ATGTGAAATCATGTCTTAATGCCACTGGCACCTCTATGTATATCAAGAATGAAATGGTGGAAGCTTATTTTTTTTCTTTAAATTCATAAAAAAAGGCCTACAACATCACTATTTTCAAGATCATCAATACCTTTTTTGACTACTCAACCCATTAAGTCTGACATCACTGCTATTTACCAGTCATATTTGGTAACATTTCATGCAAAACACATCTACCTAGTAGGGCCCTACACTCATGCACTACCAACAGTCTCCCTCACCCACAAGTATTCTAATTCTCTGGAATGTAAAGATGAAGTTTCATACGTTTTCACGAACAAACAATTCTACTAAAGACAGATGAAGTAAACAGAGTAAGAGTCATGCAGACTATATAATGATGAAAACTAAACATCTATACTAGGATATGCTACCCTACTGGCCCAGTTTAGAATAGGACTTTTTTTCATCCATTTTTTTTTCAAGACTTACATATTAAGCTAACAAGCAGATATTTGTATAAGCTTCTTTATGTACTTGAGGCACCACTACTACTAATAACAAGATGTGTGTTTCTGTTACTACATGGGGCCTCCAGCATATGATTTGCTCTCGCAGACCATCTCTATCACTGACAACTTGGCCTCCAGAAGCAAACAGTACCAGGAGCAAAATGTTCACCCCTTGGCTACAGCCTACATTACAACACTCAAAACTCATCCCATTATGATAGAGAAAATATTTAAATAAAAATGACAAGTAACACATGGCAACACACATGTGTACAGTACAATCTAAACACAAGTTGCCTAGTGCACTTAAAAAGTCCTGCTGAAAGTACTTCCCAGCAGAAAATCTGAGTTTCATAAATGCTAACTTGTACTGAGGAGCAACTGAGAAAAGAAGACCTAATCTAGATAACCATCCAAGTGACACAATTGGAAGCCAATAATTTACTTCATCTGGGTCAACTGGACCATCAATATGTCTTCACGTAATACAACAACCACACTTCAAATGGTAACTCCCAGTGTTGTGAAAATAGATTTTGATAACTGGGAATTCTTTAGTAATAAAAATATTCATATGGATAATATAAGACTTTACCCTCATGACATTGTTATTAAGGAGGAACAAATTTATTTTCGTATAAAATTTGTTAAGTTTGAGGAACAGCAGTTAGACACCCACACGTGGAATGTTAAAGGAGTAACATTCTCAAACCCTGAAACCCGTCAGTACATGACCATCACATAAAGGTAGGAACTGAACCCAAGACCCATATATTACCAGCAAAGATTCCAGGAGTTACAGAGATTATGATTTTTTTTTTTAATGCACAAGTAATTATGCTTTGATAAACTTAAATTATTATTCAAAGAAACACTGCCAAGTTTGGCATACACTGAATAAGTCTGTAGGTACAGTATTAAGATACAATCCTCATCTGGGCATTTATAGTATAAGAATAATATCAGACCCAAGCTTCAGTATCACCAAACACTCAGTTACATGAGGTATACTGTACATCTTATGATATTTCTGTGGTATTTTATTTCTTCTTGTCAATCCTTTTATAGGTTTCTCACATCCTGAATTGGATTTTGCTAATATTTCTACATTTAATGCAAGCCAGGAAACACACAGAGGATGAGGAGTCTACTAGCATAGGTATGAGAGCAGCAACAGCAAACTCAGGAAGCATCACACACAAGTCCCACCTACCATCATGGGCTGAGTCCTGACCAAGTGACTACGGTTACTAAGGATAGTTTCACCCTATTTTTTCCCCATAGATAATGTTTAATGTGTAATTTATGTCTGTAAGACTATCACAAAATTATCTATTTAATTTTCAATTTAATGTTCCTTACAATAATATTAAGCATGCAACTTGTATATCTAGCAAGCTATCTTAATCAACATTTCTTGTTTATAGCTTTCATGATTTAGCTTGGAAATTACTGCATCATACATTTCTATATACAGCCATGTATCTAACTACATAGAAAAGAGACTGATACTGAGGACATTTCCCTGAATAAATAAGATTTTAAATAATTCTTAGTATATGATAAACAAAAGCACTGTTTTCCCATCAAGTTAAAGACATAAGCTTTGTGGTATAAAATCATGTGAACAATCTCTTAACACTGGCATAGTTTGTAGGCAAACTGTCCAAGTCATAATTCTGTGTATTCAGGAGGGACAGATAATGTTGGTTACCTTGGAATTTGTGAACAATGACAGGGAAGACTTAATAATTCAACTGAACAACTGATAAAAGTCCATATTTTGAAATAATCAACATCTAGACCATTCAGCATGATGCAGGTGCACCCTATAATCACAGATCCCAGGAATAGGGAGGATTAGCTTTGTTCGTCAACCATGCTACAATAACACTTCATTATCTACAACATGCCACATGCTGTACTGTATAACATTTACTGTTATGGAACTACTGCAAGATGGCAAGATGCAATGAGAGGGAAGCTGGAAAGCAATAATTACATATCTTGGTCTAGCAGAAGTAAAGCTTAATGCATACCCCAGAAGTTACTGAATCATACAGTATACAGTGGTCCCTCGATTAACGAACACAATTGGTTCCAGAGTCGGTTGTTAACTGAAAATTTTGTTAACTGAATCTATTATTTCAATGGGATATAGGGTAATTGGTTCCAACTCACAGAAAAAGTATACATACAAAGTACTGTATACCAGCAATAGAATTAACAAAACATTAAATATAAACTAAATACTGTCCAGTACTGTACTGTACAGTATAGTGTACAATAATATAAAAAACAATAGAATACGTACTGTATTTCAACTTACTTTGAGGTGTGTATGTCGTATTCCTGGCAGCTTTGCAAAAATTGTGACCAAGTCCCAGGTTGCTGATCTGACTTTCTGCCTCATTTACACACAATTGCAGAGTCTCAATTGTTTGTCTTACTATTGACAACACAACATACATACTGTCGTTTTTCACTATTGATTGATTTTTTCCATTTTTGTATTTATTCATTTATTATTACTATTATGCTTTTTATTTATTTTATTAATTATTATTATTATTATATTTCGCCCTCCAGGCCCTGATGTGGGTCAGTGACCTGTGCCCGGGTTGGCTAATCCCCGTAAAAAGAAAAAAAAACATCAAACAGCTGATTGTAGAGGCAGTCGATGATGACATGCCATATTCTTTACAGTGCATTGGTTCTAATGCCTTTTTCATGTTTCATAATTATTTCTGCACTGTATATTACCAATATGTTAACTAAATTTCAGAATGACCAATAATTTTAATGTAAAATATGCAAAAATATTCAAGAGCACAACTTTCTTGATATTTAATCCACTGGAAACGAATGTAAACATAGAACCAATTACTGTATTGGCAGACTAGCCGATCAGCTGATGCGCACAACAAAGCGTATTTCACGTAAGGCTGAAGTTAATCGAAGTTTTGTTCAATAATGGAACTGAAAATCTTAATGGGAGCTAACTCGTTAACCGAAATTTCGTTAATTGAACCGTTCGTTAATTGAGGGACCATTGTATATGTAAAGGCCGCCTCATTGATTAAGTATAACTATTGTACAGTACTGTATTCAGTTGACATCCAATAATAATAATAATTAGTTGCTTTTTGTTTTTGACAACAGTCCCTCACTTCCCAATAATTTCTATTAGTTATGAAAGAAAGAAAAAACAAACAAAGAGAGAGAGATAGAATGTGTTACAAAGTGAAAACAGTAGAAAATAATAATAATAATAATAATAATAATAATAATAATAATAATAATAATTATAATAATAATAATAATAATAATACTGTAATAATAATAATACTGTAATAATAATAATAATAATGTAATAACAATAATAATACTGTAATAATAATAATAATAATAATAAAAGGTACATCCTATCTAAAGAGTTCCTATGATAATTAATTCCAAATGTGAGAAATATAATCTTTAAAATATTTCCTCAAATGCTAATATAAAATAATTACAAAAACAGAAAAAAGCACATTCCTCAAAACCAAACAATGTAACAGCCACTATGAAAAACAAAATCGAGTGTTTAGCGACAGGGTAAAGAATTTCAGAGTCACATTTTTAAGGGAAGGACAGAAAACACCATTTGTCTAGCCCCAAGGTTCATCAGTGACCCAAACTAAGACAACAGGAATTCCACAAGCAGTATTATTATTCTTTTCAATTACCTCAGATTTTAGCAATTAAAAGAACATTACAGGTGTGTTTCTGTAATCAATACATTAATACAATGAGAGAGAGAGAGAGAGAGAGAGAGAGAGAGAGAGATGCGTGTGTACCTTACAGAGGAGCCTTTATGAGTTCTTGGATTGTTAATGTACTGTACTATACTATACTCTACATACTCAAAGAGAGAAAGAGAAAGAACAACGTACAAAGGTAGATAGGAAAGATAAAGGTTTCAATGAGGAGTGATAAAATATGGGGACATGGTGCTGTATGTTTCCTTATGCCTGTTAAATATCATTCTGAATCAGTATCTCATTGTTACACTACAACAGCTTGAGAGACACACTGAAATAATGTTCGTTATCATCATCTTCACACCCACACCCCTGCATCTTGCCAACCTTCCAGGGTCTTGGTCTTGCATTTGATAATCCCCAGGAAGAAGCTGTTTCGTTATATAAAATTCTATTCGTGCAGTTATCACATAGGATGCCATGCTTGAGCGGAGATGGACATGCAGTAGTAATTCATACTCCTTCGCCTCTATTGCCTCGGATGTATAAGCCATAGAGGGAGGATCAGCACTAAGCTGCCCAAACAAGTCTAGGCTTCACCTTCCTGTCCTTTTGATCTCTGGCCCCCATGTTCTCCCACTCATCCTGTCTTTTTGATCTCTGGCTCCCATGTTCTCCAACCTGTCCTGTCTTTTTGATCTCTGGCTCCCATGTTCTCCAACCTGTCCTGTCTTTTTGATCTCTGCCCCCCCCAATGTTCTCCCACCCTCCTGTTCTTCCTCAGTCCTCTGGTTCATTAGCAACATTACTCAGCTACGTTATGTTTATCGTACTGGTTGATAATGAAATATCACCCAGTGGAGGAGGTGGTGTGAACTACACTCCTGGTGGCAGTGAAAGTTACATGTCATAGGATCAACATGTAAAACATACACAATTTACAAGAAAATCTAACCTCCTACAAGTGTCTGTCAAGATAAGCCAGGTTTAGAACCGTCGATGGATTTAGAGGATTACTTGTCAAACATACCTTTAACCCTTGACACCTCGGCAGGGTACAGATAATATCCCAGTACAGTACTGCATAAAAGTGACTTTTCTGTATCAGTTGATTTAGCATGACCTGCCAGTATGTCTTCTAATTATCTGTTAAATTGTTTGTAACGAATGTCATATTATCCACAAAGGACAAAATGGAAAGTTGGAATCAACATATTGTCATTTAAGTACTAAAATATGTGCCTATATTCTCTCTGTTGAGGGATGGAGGGGATGTATGCTTGAGGAGATCTTTATATTTGTACACAGTCTATGTTATACTATATCAGTGGATGAATATTGTTGTTCAAATATTAAACAACCTTTTTCTCAATGAAGAGATGTTTGACTTCAAGGGAGCTCTTTGAAGGGTTACTAATCTGACCACACAATAGGGATTACTGAGGTTTGAATCATTTAGTCTATTTGTGATTCCTCATGAGTGAACTAAAATAATGATATACATTATTATTGATTACAGTTAATATGGATAATTTGTAAAGCCCAAAGGATGGAATGTGTGTGTGTGTGTGTGTGTATGCCTGTGTGTCATTCTACCCCATGACAAAGGGGAAAAGTATTAATATACAAAATGTACACATTTTGTTATGAAAATCTAACATATGTGCATCCTATACCTGAAAAAAAGTGCATAAAGTATATGGAATTCCATTATTCTTTTTCATTTTTGAGGGTCTGACACACATCCACAGTTCAATAAAGAAAACAGTCAACTGGCAAAACAGTAACGCAATACTTACTCAACTTTTGAAAATTAACATCAAAGCCAAAACCCCCAAAGTTTTGACAAATACAGTATATAGCCTCTATTATACACCTTGACTTAAATGCAAAAAGTTACATATATACTGGATGTCCAATACACTTATTAATGACAATTTCGAAGTTATATTTACCTTTAAATTAAAAAATTCATGAACCCTCACTAGATACAAAATCAATAGATTATGATATTCTTTCAAATTTCTTTTTCTTTCACCATTATTGCTTTACAATTTATAATAAATCAATACAGAGGAACATTATTCATCACACAAGAACAATATATCAAATCTTCAATTGTAATTTTTCAGCCTTAACAGGATTACTAGCACAGACTCATATTAGATGTTGGTACACACTCCAAAAACATCTTTACGGAGGGGTCTGATGAATTTCAAAATGAACACTGTGACTCCGGTTGTCTCAGTAGGGTTGTCAAAATCCTTCATCAGTTGTGTCATATTGTCTCTCACAAATTCATAAAGGTACTTTTTGGAGCGTGTGTATATCAGCAGCAATCACAACAACAACTGAATTGAGAACAAGAGAACCATCAACATGATTCAGCTCTTGTGTTTGTCAGTAACTAAACTTATTATCCCTGGCAACAGATGGAAAGCTTTTGGGGTTGTATGCATGTGTACATTATACATATGTACATACCTACTAATTTATACATGTCTGCCTGCATGTACAGTATACAGTATATATATGAGAAACTAAGACACCTCATCTCTAGAAAATTTGTTGGACAATCTGGTAAACACAGCCATATTAGGTGGTTTATTTTGGGTTTAAAAGTTAGTTCTTTGTTGATAAACTGAAGAAGACACTTGATCCCCAACACCCATGTGAAACAAACACAGTAAGACCCTCAAAAGACTCCTGCCTATATGTATAATATCTGTTTTGTGTAAAAAGTATTAACATGACTTTAGGTTCTGTACATCACATTGCTGAAAACTAATAACTTCAGTGAATTAAATTATGGTAGAAAACTGTAACTGATGTATACAGTAGTTGTATTTCTTCTTGCAATAAAAAATCAATATATTAGTTTCCTTCAAATAACTTTGATTAATATATTATACATAAATACACAACCGCTCCTTAAGTACAGTACTGTACAATACCGGGTACTTCATTTTACAACTTTGCCCGTAAAATTTTGATTCTGGAAACCCTTTTAGGGCTAAGTTACTATTCTTCACACTGTTGACAAAAGTGGAAAGTCTGTATATGCCCGCACCACACAGGACGTCAGAATGATCAGCTCACCATAAGTTCTGGTCCATGTGATAACACTGTAAAACCCTGCTGTGATACTACACTACTGTTTAAGTACTTTGTTATTCAGTCTTCTTAAGTACACATTTTGTAATGGATTGCAATTAAGTACAGTACCTTAATGGTATTAATAATCACAAACCCAACTTGTGTCAATATTGTTTTATCTCTTTTAATTTTGTGGGGAATATACCTGTACTACTTGAAATGAGATTTGTTACTTAATATACGGCAAACCAAGCTCTCAACAATTCCACAAAGATTCTTCTGTATACATTAATAAAAAATGCAGTTTTAACCCAAATGCCCATACAGTGAAAACATTTTTGTGGGCCAAAACACTTCTTCCAAGTTTGAAATTTTTAAGTTAAAACTACTATACCTGTATTCACTGAAATTTGTTTTTCATTCAAATCATCATCAATTACATTAAGCAATGCATGAAGTCTGCAATGCCATTTCAAGTAATTTTGATAATTCTATTCAGTTTTTACTGAAAAAACACTTCCCTAATTATGACACTATTCATAAAATTATTTTGCTATACAGTACTTTTTTCAGTGTTCATCTGACACTGAATTTTACCGAGCCACAGATGGCAGTATCTAACTGCCTCTCGTATGAATACTGTCCTTTATCACCCATTGACAGTACCTATCCAGTTCCTGGGTTTATATCTACCAGGACAGTCTCCACCATCACCACAGCTCACACACTACCTACTCTGTTCTTCATCAGTAACAACAGATCCCCAGGCCTATGTTCTTAATCTTCGATGTTACTGTTCATATATTCTCATTTTGCCCTCTATTATTACTCTAAGTAGCATTACCTATATCAACTCTATTTCATCAAGTGTTCAGTACCAAAAATTGTATATCTTATTTTCTTTTTAAATTTCTGTATTTCCCATAACTAAGATTTTACAATGAAATCTTCCAAAAAGTAAAGTACTTTTAAGATGGTACAAGGCTGTCCTCTGGATGCTAAGTCTAGAAAAACAGTATCTATGGGGTAGTTTCAGTGGAATTCATATTAATCCTCTTTGGGCAATCAACATTACAGACATCAAGTTCTAATGTCAATACAGTATCAATAATTGCTGTGCAGGAACAGCCTATTAACAGTTACAAAATTGTGTTTTACTATTGGCATGAAAACCTATTCAACAGTTATGTCACTAAACAAATTCTACCCCAAGAGAGTATCTATAGACTGCAATGAATAACAACATCACTTTAACTACTCTGTGATACATTATAACTACGGCCAATTTTTTCCAGCTCTCCTCTCTTGAATCACTTGAGGAATAAATTCCTTATGATCGTAGTAAAGTTGGGAAATCACCAGACCAAGCAGTAAAACCTGTCTTGCAATAACACTGGCAAGATTTGATACATCTAAATAATTCACACTGAGGTATTAAAATTGTGTTAGGAGAGATTAAAGATTCCTATACAAGCAGATGCATAACTGTTGACTTCATTAAGAACAACAAGGTCAAACACTTGCCTCAACTATTTGTAGGTTTCCATCATAACTACTCAACAACAATCTTCAAACCTTCATAATTACATGTACCTGAATTTCTTGACACAGTCATTACCGAGGTCAACGATGATGACATGTCCATCTCGTGTTGTGGCGAGGCCCGAGGGTCGCTTCAACTTCGCTTCACGGGAGTCTATAGTAAAGATGAGCGTTCCAAGTGAATAATCGAACACTTGAATACAGGAATTGTTGCGCTCTTGTCTTGTAGCGAGTAACAATCCCTTTGGATCCAGAAACAGACCTCCGTATGTTCCTTTGAGTCCTTTACCTGAAAATTATAGTGTAGTGAGAAGAAACATTTTGTGCATCAGCCACCATAGTCACTCGTGGGTTAATACTGTAAAACCTTGTATTATTCATGGCTTGAAATATCTACAATGCAATTGGAAGAATTTACTGTTAGGATAATTGACAAATCTTAAACTGTTTCTGTGTACTAACTGCAAAATGTCTTAGGTAGTCACAGCTCAGTTCAAATAAAATCTGTGAACAGACTCATCCGTGAGTCTCCTTTCCACATATATCCAACATGTGTAAATGAATAGATCGAGTAGTTTTTAAAACATTTCCATTCTCATCTTGTTTCAAGAATCATCACCATACAGTCATCTTGTGGGAACTACCATATATTTAAGTAAATCTTTACTTGTACATCATATGTCTAAATTTGCACATTCTTGTAGTCAACAGTGTAAAAAATAGTTCATACGCTTGAGTAATTCATCATTATGTCTATAATTTTTTTTTCATTTTATCTGCAGATCACAAATACAGTACTCAATGTAATATAGCTATACAGTACTGGTATTTCAAATTCACTGATGACTCCCAAGAAATAAAATCATCATTTGAATTTGGATTTATATACTAAGTGTGTCTTACTAACTGCAGGGTATATGTAAAAGAAAACAACCAGTGGACAAAGTGTGCAATTTGTCAGAAAAATCACAGAGGTCAACTGTTCTATTCTGTGATCACTACCATATTTACCAAGGTATATAATTTTAATATTTAGTATTTTCTTTTACTGTTAGCTGGTGGCTCCTGATTCACTTACTGACACTCAAAATAATATGGAAGACTTTTTAAATATACAGTTCATGAAACACATTATTATTTTGGCAGAAATAGCAAGTGTGTTTCAATCATAAATTCAAGCAACACCTTCAAATACTCACCTGTTTAGAGTTGGAAGATTATAGACCAACATGCCAATCATATCAAAGTTTTCAATGAGAAAAAACAAGCAACTTACCTCTGGTTTCGAAGATAGTGCGTGTGTACTGTCCTTCTGGGGAAAACACTTGTATTCTTGAATCAGCAACTACCACTTCATTATCAGGACCTGTGCACAAGGCAGCAACTGACCCCAGTTGGCCTGGTTTGTTTCCTTTCACTCCCCATTTTCTCACCAACTTCCCACCAGGAAGAAAAACAAATATAGAATTCACTGCATTGTCTGCCACAAGAATTTCACCATCACTATTGACTGCAAGAGTTGTTGGTTCAATTAACTGTTCATGAGAAAACTGATAGAGAAGATGACCGGAGGAGGTCACTTCCGTTATTGTTTTCTTCCGCCAGTTAACAAATACGAGAGAACTGGTTGGAGTTCGTGTTATGCCCGTGACACTTCTACCCTCTAACGCATCGCCCACTATATGTTGCACTTCCTTCAGCTGTGGGCTCAACACCTTAATCCGAGAATTTCCTGTATCCGCCACATACATGAACTCGTTATCATCTATACAAATACCCACAGGTTGTAAGAACTGGTCCTTTCCTGAACCCCGTGACCCATACACAATATCTGGATTATGTTCATCAATCACTTCAACAAGCAGTGGGCTTTCTTTGATAGATCTACCAAAGATTTTCACAGTAACACTGTGTGTTCCACCTTGCTCTGGGGTAAAGAAAATAGAATATGTCCCATCCTCATTATCTTCAACTTGGCTCTCAATTACATCCCCACCTTCTGACTTGACTTCTGACACTACAGGATCACCACCTGTACTCTGACTCTCCCCATCATAGTCAACGGTGTGAACTACAACCTCACTTCGTAAATGAGTCATGGCTTTCTTGGCCTTCATGAAGCACAGACTTGGGAAAGTTTTACTGGTAACCACTCGCCCATAGTCTTCAATAGTTGCCTGAATTTGATCGAATGCTTCATTGTGATGACTCTCAAACTTCAAGAAAGCATTTTCTCTTGGCTCAACCAATGTGGATAAAGAATCAATCTTGGTATTAAGGTGAGCGATCTTCTTGGTAATATTGCGAACTTCTACTTGGTACTGGAGTCCCTCACACTCTTGTTGGACCTTTCGTCTCTCTCCCTCAATGATGTCCAGCTGGTCCTGTAAACACCAAGATTATGTAGAGCAAAATAAAATATGTGATGGGACATTTGCCCTACCAGTGGAAAAATTAACACCTTTTGACCGAGAAAATTATATTAATTTGAGCTCTTCATTACCTACCAACACCATCCAACAATGATCGCTGATTCAACATGACACTGTGTGACTGTGATTTTCGCCCAACTGATTACAATTAAATGAAAGTTTTATCCATTTTACTTCACCTGTAAAAAAAAAAAAAAAAAGGTACAGGACGTACGTATATCTACCCGAAAATATGAGCTGAAAAATAACAACAACACAGCTTGGTCTGGTAGGGGGACAGCGAGGGGAATGTAGCTACAGGGACATCTAACTTGGCAACCTGTCAAGTCCACACACACACACATGTTCACTTCACACACATGCACACCTATGCTTCTCATTTTTCTTATTTTATAGCAACCTGCCATCTTCACGGAAATGTACTGAAAAATCTATATTGCTATTTAATTTATATTAAGCTATTTTATATGTACTGTATTTGACTCAAATTTAATTAAATACAGTATACAATACAGGTACTGTTTAGTGAAGGAACAGGCAACTTAGTTTGACTTTGACGAGTATTATCCGTGACCATGGAACCTAATCCACTATTTCCCATAAGCTTTTAGTCTTGCCATCCTCAAATTTGCCAACCACGGGGTTTTCCAGGAACCTAACCCCAGCAGTTGACGAGGGACTACTGTACAGAATACATTCCACATTTATGTACACAGGCTAATTATCTTCCTCTCTTCTACTCATCAATACGATATATAAAGAGGACCTTACTTGTAAAACTTTCTTTTTCTCATCTCGCATTTTCTTAACGTTGCTGATGACAGTTTCTCGACGCTGCTCAATAGTGTCAATGATGGCCTGGAACGCTCTGTTGACATCCTCAAAGGTTGCATCTACTGCATGGTCCAGCTGGTGCATTTCTGATGTCACTGCATCACTTGCCTCATTTAACTGTAAGTTACCATACAAAAGACTAACTCAAATACATTATTTGGAAAAATGAAGTTCTTTATAAATAAATTTAGATTACAAGGCACTTACCTATCATGACTACTAGCTGCTTCAATTGCATAATTAAACAAATACTGTCAATGCAAACTATCCACAAATCATGTTGATGCCTTCAAGATACATGGAAGTCATTTACATACACTGCACATACAGTAAACTCCCAATTATTCATAAGTTAACATTTGCAGATCTATTATCAATAGTTAAAAGAGTTAAGACAGTGTGGAACTTGGGGGAGGGTCACCAATCACAAGACCTTCCTGCATGAGACAATTAGCAGGAGAACTGAGTTACAAAACACACTCGTTTATTGTAGCTCAGATGTGTGTTGGATGCTGAAAACATTCATTTATGATGGTGAAAAAGACCTCTCAATGAACCTTACCCTTAGTAACTTCAATAAGCAAACACCAGCAATAGATTTAAATGTTCATACACATGCTAGACCAAGTGGGAGATTTGAAAACAAATTAGATCTCTCACTTCATGGATTATACTTTTGAAGGTTCTATCTCATGAACAACAGTAGCAGCACAGGGATCGAGTAAACGGAGGGTTCATCAGCAAGACGTATTAATGTATTTAGTAATGCATAATTGTGCAAAAGGAGTTTAACAATAAATATTTCCTATGAATTACACTTTATAAATTATTTGTAGATTTGGTTATCCATGGGTGGCCTTGGAACATAACACTGTTAATACTCAGGAGTCTATTGTATTACTGGAAACTATACTTATGACCCTCTGCATACTGTAAAGTACATCATCAACACTGTTTTAGTCAATTTCCACACAAGTGTGGGTTAGCTAACTGCAGAAACATTTGGGCAACTGACTTTCAACAATACTGTACTTAATATATACTTCCATATATGAAAAGTCCAAGGAAAATATCAACCCCACCTTTGAGTAACACTCATTGGCCTTATAACATAGGATTTCTGACATTCTTTTGATGGCGATGGAGAGTGGAATGACCGTGTGCTGATAGCTGGCAGCACTGCCCTGGTGAGAGCCATTGCTACACTGTGTACAGAACACCAGGTCACACGACTCACAAAACAACAACTCCTGAAAAAAAAAATTGAGGCTAACATTTAGTAAAACAGTGCAGTATACAGCTTATATAGTACATTGTATGTTGGAGAATAAAATATTTCAATTACAAATTAGGATTACACAATAAATAAAACTATGTATTATAAAACAATTGACTGAAGTTCATACATTAAAAATTTAAGTTTTTTTAATTATATTTTATTCCACTCATAAAATACATGAGTAAAATCCATAACCAGCAAACGTATTAAAAAAATACTTTTGGTCTACATATATAATAACTTTGGCTACAGGAATGAAGTAGTCCAGAGTAGACATGCAAACAAAAAACTTGAGGGTGGCTTTGTAAACTGGAGGAACATGAAGTGATAAGGCCTATGAAAATGGCAGTGAATTTAAGTCCACAGAATGATTAAAACAACAGACTAATTGTAAAATGTGTGTGAAGTAACCATAGGAGCAGCACTTCAAACACAATCAACTGAGTACACTGAACTAAACAGCAATATACTATACCTGATTTGGGTGGGTGGAACATTTGGGTACAACTTCTCGTCGCTGCCTTGACATCAGGTCTAATAGTTGATTGACCAAGAAGGAGGGGGGCAGGGCGGCCACCCCTCCTGAAGGAATCCGTATGGACTCCCGGCATATGGGACAGCGGAAAGTGCCATCATCGCGTGCGTGGGAGGCAACGATGCGGGTGAGGCAGTGAAGACAGACGGTGTGTGAGCAGTGCAGTAACTTAGGGGTGTGTTCACCACCATCAAAGGAACCTGTCCATATTAAAGCTATATTGACACGTGTTGAAATGTTTTACGACAGTGATGAAATAATTGTAAGTTATGTCCTAGGATTTGAGGAGACTTACCTACAATATTCCAAGGATTAAGGGGAGGGGGCAGGGGTTCTTAAACCTCTTTTTTTTTTTTTAGGGGGCTGGATTTTGGACATTTACTATACACTGAATATTCATGTTTAGCAGCACCACATACTCTGTTAATGACACTCACTCAGTCCATGAAAAGTGTGTGAGTAACTTGTATTCTCTTGAGGGGTTTTATGGACTTCTTACAGAACCACTAGCACATTTACAGTGTTAGTTAGAAATATGGGTTTTTCACTTAATCCTATTTATCTACATCATGCCAGTTAATTTAAGGAGTTTTCAGCACTTTACTATTTACAGAGCTATGTGTTTACAGGAGACAAAATAATGTAACTAATGGAACCAAAACTCACTTGTGTCATGTCATATAGAAAGACGATCTATGTTGACTTGTGCATTCCATGGTGTGTTAAATAAGCCCAGACTGAGTACAGATCACACTGTTAGGGCAAACCCTCATGTGTACCCCTGGTCTTTTATCCTAGTGAGTGTGTGCACCCACTCATACACACTGAACCTTTAGAGTAACTCATGAACAATATAAAATGGATTTCGTTTTTGCTTAAAGGTCAACTTCAAAGATTCAAACCTACCACAGCACAAGAAACATTTGATTCCATAGAAACCATTAATGTCTCCTGAACAAACACAGCCTCAAAAACTGTGTTGTGCTACCTCTGAAATGACCCCTTAACCATCAACAAAATACTGGCACTGTACATCTCTCTTAAAGCAATTGCTCTATGGTGCAGAAGACATTCTTATCAATCAGAATTCTAACAGCAGATTCAGTTAAGCAAGAGACAGCATATAACTACCAGTACCGCCATCCTAAGAGACAACTCGTGGTAATTTTTCTCACTGTTACAAATCTACAACTACAACTAAACTACAACAAATACAAAGTTACATCATCAGAATGTACTGCATGCTAAAGTTACATTCAAATTACTCTTTAAATGATGCTTTAAGTTTTACCTTCAGAAATACATAATGCATCTGATGATTATTTATCAAGCATTACAATTACTAATTTAATTACATCGGAGTACAGTAATTATTTCATATGTAATCGATCTGAAACTTGAAACGTAGTACAGTACAGTCCAGTACAGATAATATGAAATGTGTGTAACTGTGTATGTGTGTGAGATAAAACTGAGCACTATACCAATGGCACTTGATAAATGGTTTGGAATACCAACTTAACTTTTGTCTGAGTATTAAGGGCGAAGAATTCTTGGTTCCCACTAAACATTTGAGCCTGGTGGGCCTAACACAGAAGGTATACAATATTGCAATTCAAAGAAAGTTGCAGGATTCACAGCTTATCTGAATGCCTACAACCTCTATATACTGACTTTGAGTAGCTATTGACAGTGTTCTACAGCTTAGAGAGAACTAGAGTATAATTTTTAATACTCCCTAAACACACTACTCCCCACTTACTGCTTACAGAGTAATAACATTGTAAAAATACCCTTTTCTAGCCCACATGCTCTGTCCTAAAAATAAATAAGTTACATTATAATAATTAAGACAAGTCTGTACAATGTCAGGAGAACTTTCATCATGGCTGAACACAAGTAAAACAAACTCAAATACGACAATATGAGATTCCATCCCTTACACATACAGTACTAACCTTAACTAGCTTCACACTTGTATGATGCTGTATTGTAACAAAAACTAAAGCATGGTTAAGGTCCATGAGTTAAAAACACTACTAATTGTTCAGTAAATAACTAACTGTACATTACAAGTCTGGGAGTACTTCAAACATCTGCATGAACCATCTCAACTATTTGGAGTAACCAATGTTGAGAATAGACTTCTTTTAGAAAAGTGTCAGTACAGTACTACAACCCCTACAGCTTACTCTCTATGTTGTAACTAATAAATGCTTAATTCAGAGCTTATTACTGTAAATACCATGATAATTTCCATTCCAACTACTGTATGCCCCTTAATACCCTATAGCTGAATAATTCTTCAAGAGGAAAGCCTTTCATCTAGATTAACCCAAGCCTACTTAAAACTGTACAATGCCGGGCTCTTTCCCTAAATTGACTTACAAAGACATGTGCCGCACGTGAGGAAAGATTCGTTGAAGTCCTCATAGTTAATAGACACTGTTTCAACCAGTGTAGAAGACATCACTTCTTCCCGACCCACGCCTCGGCTGAGGAATAAAAACAAAAGGTTATTGGAGATAAAACAAGCATTCAGTGATGCAAGTCATCTTTTATATCTATAAACAATAAATGGCAGTCAAATGAACATAATATAGATCTTTTCAAACTTTACTTCTATATAACTGTACTATATACTCTATTTAGAAATCAATGCACTGAACATAATTAAAACTATTTTTATATTTAATACATGGCAGCACCATTATAGGGCTCTTCAATTATTAATACAACTTACACCCTTCTCTCACTCTACATGGATTTAGAGCTGCATTATTTACTTTCTATGAAGCTTTACTTTGCACCAAAGGTACATGGGGTGTTTGAATCTAAAGCCAAGGTCCATGATTAGCTTACAGTGTCAAGTGGCATCTCACTCCTTCACATGATTATTCACATATTGCATAATGGAACCACTTAAATGAACTGCCAATATGCCTCCATAGTAAAATATGTTCATAGCAAGAAGCCCAACAGTCTTTCCAATATAATCCAAGTTAAAAATAATTTGATGTCTTAAGAGCTGGGAGTCAGCAGTGTCATGTGATTGTAAACTCCAGTGCAGCTCTAAAGGTTATACACTATAAATAGATGACTTAGATCAATATACTACCCGGTACCCACATAGTGCTTACAGCATCAAGTGCTCTACTTACTGTGCTCACAAAACAGCACTGGTCAAATGTCTTGCTAGTACTCCTGAGTGAGATGCTCTTACTAAATAACCCCAGACAATTTAAACACTGGAATCCAAGCTGAAAATAATCTGACAATGCGAGAGTGAGGAGCCTACTGCTGTGGTTAGCTGCCTGGCTGCACTGGAAGATAAAGAGTGTGGCATTCCAATACCATACACTCTAGGAGGGTGAAGAGCTCATTGCAGAAATTGGTGATAATACAAATAAAGGGAGAGAGAATACAGTACAGTAACCAGAAACCCATTACAACTTCTTACAGTACATTTATGAATATATTTGAGAAAAAGGAGTGCAAACAAATTAGGGGCAGAGAGGGAATGTAACCCATGTTTCACTTATTAATAAAATAACATTTGCTTTTCAAAGACATACTTATCACACAACCTTTCCTCGACGAGTATCCCTTGTTCAGAGCACGGGAAGACAGTACTCCCAAAAACCTTTTCCAAACAAGTCACACCAAATCTGGATGAAAATTAAATTTCTCTCCAGTTTCAAGATTATGCATCCACTGGCGAGTCACAGGTAAAAATAATCACCATGAAAAACAAACATTCGTGTGTATCAAATCTATAGTTACTGTATGTCCCTAAATTCCATGGACAACACTAAACACATCTCACAGTAAAATCTGTCCACAGTGATGTCTTGGGGTTGAGGAGGCAGGAGGAGGAGAGGGGGCCCACCAGCCTCCTCCCATTGTGATTTATTATCTCCACTTTCATCACCACCTGCTCCCCATTCCCTTGTATTTGTCTGTCAGTTTGTGTTATGTCTATTTTTATTCTCCATTTCTCTCTCTCTTACACTCTTTTATTAATTTTTCTCATCTCTTGACACACTTAAATAGATAGAGAGGATTAAAACTCAGTGATGTAGTAGCTATGAATTTCCTCGTCTTTTTCTCCTTAGTAAGGTTTTGTATATACAGTAATTACACCACCACCTTTCTATTTGTAGCTCTCCTCACTCCACTGCTTCCTTCTTTATTGCATCTTCTCATTCTACTGCTGTTCCTTTTGTTTATAGCATCTTCTCATTCTACTTTATTTCCCCTTTTCCCCATCATTCAATCTTAAAAAAAAAATAACTATTTCAACGCTTCCATCCTCAGCTCCTCTCACATTCTCCATAATATTCAACTAGCAAAGTGTTCCTGCAGCATCTGACTCTCCTTCTCCTTTACACCTCTAACCTAACCTAACTTTTACCGTCACGAGAACAAGAGAGGCGATAAAGATGACCCGAGATGTGTTTACTGTAACATCATATTCATTTCAACTGCATTTTTTGGCTATTTCAGCTTTTGTCACACTTGTCACCTCTTGTGTGTCATGGTCCTTGTGTTTACTCCAGTACCAAGAGAAGGAAAGACAAAAGAGCATCAGACTGCCCATGTATTTAATTAGGTCGGGGGGGCACATGGGAGTTGAGCATACAGTTCATTGGGCCATTCGTTGTGATGCAGAGGTTCAGAAATTTCTCAACTCCTCGGAGCCAAAGGGTAATGTCCTTATAAGACGTGAGCCTAATCAGGACAGAAGAGAAAATAAGGCAAGGTACAGTTCCAGCACCATGGCAAACGAGTCGATGACAGAAATGATAATACAGCACGGTTATCAGAAATCACAGGTGCTACCAAGTAAACTAACCAGTGAACTAACAACCTAACATCACTCTTAACTGTTGCTGAATTAGTATTTACATTTTTCTCACTTACAAAAACTACACTATCTTCCCTCACACTATCATTTACATCACCCATTGTTATAACCTCTTCCTCATCCTGTAGTGCATCATGCAATTAAGAGAAGGCATCACACACACACAGCCACGTGCCCTGCCAGAAAATAATAAAAACCTGAAAAGTAAAGAAAATTGTGGCACCGAATCCACATGCCAATCAGAATGCCATTTCCTCCGCTCTGATGGGGACAAGAAACTAATCCACTAAATCTTCTTAAAAGTTCTCATTAAGGCTATTTATCACTTCCTATTACAAAAAAACAAAAAACAAACCAGCTACTTTTTTTTCTCTAAACTCTTTGTTAAAATAACCGAGTGGTAAGCACTCATGGGCCTTCTTACTACAGAATACATTATCCTGTAGTACTTTAAATACAGAACCAGTACTGTAACTACATGAATCCCTTCCATAACCACAACTGAAAATAGCTATTCCTACCTATATAATCCAATTAAAATACAACTCTCTCCTCTCCTATTTAACTAAGTTACACAAATTACATTCATAACACCATTATTTAAATCCAGTAAATCAAATGTCTCAGTACTTATAATAAACATCTTGAGTGTCTATAATTATTTAGGGCCTCAACTTTATTATATCATATGGGAATTATTGGACAGGCTGCTTATACTGTACCTTATTATATGTTTGTACCATCTTGCATTTATATCTCTGAATCTAATATGTGTAAATCATCTATTATACCATTGCACTGGCACCGTGTACTTTGCAAGATACTGAAGTAAAATTGACCTTTAACAGTACAGAGGGTATACACAATACTCCTCCCCAACATATATATATGCAGTATACAGTGCAGTAATAATAAATTCCCTTGATCTGAACCTAAACCCTCCTCTTCCTCCTTAGTTCCCTTCTACTGTACCTAGGATAGTGATGTTCAGTTCCCTTTATGTTACCTCAAACACACTACAGTACCACCCATCTCACCCGACTCCCCACACACACACATACACAATCCCCGGATCATATTACACAATCACGTCGGTCTCCCCTCTTCTTCACTCACGTCATCTTTCTGCATTGTCTTCTTATCTAACCCCTTCACTCACATACTCATAGACCCACCCACACACACAATAATTATTTCTATCTATAATCCCTCTACCAGGTTATCTAATACCTAACTTGAGTTCTGATATGAAAACAAAAAAGTATCACACACTTAAAAAAAAACAAAAAACAAAAACAATACAAACACATATTTACTCCATCAATAACCAAACAGCAGAAACATCCAGAAATCAACATTTAAAACTAAACACTTAAATAAATCTTGTCTAAAAGTGAAACCAAATGCAGGAAGCCAAACATGTACAACACACCCCTCCCCTCTAGGGTCACAACCTCGCCTGTTAAGACTCTCCCCGATGTCTACGCCACCACTGCCGCCTTCTCACCCACTCACACCAAGACTCCCCACTAATGTATTGCATAACCAGTGTCTTCCAAATGTCCACCACACAGCAGTATTACTTTCTATATGTTATGACAATGCTTTCCCATAATCTCGTAGATCTCCCCGTGTTTCAGCATCCTCCACTGCGCCTTTGTTAATGATATAATACCTTATTTTATTATCCCCTTATGTATATATTGAATCATCTATTGCTCCTTTTCTCATATTTTTTTCTTCGTAATCTTTTCTCTTATCATCATTTCCTCCCCTTTATTTACCGGTAACCTTTCTTCTCATTACCTTCATCCTCCTATACAGTACTCCCTACATCTTTCTTGGCTTAGCAATATCCCCATTCTACCTTCACACCAGTCAGAGCTTGTTCCTCTCTAAGCTAACTCTTTTACTATCCCATTTACCATCCATTAGTCTCTACTTTTCATCAACATTTTTTTTCACTTATCAACAATACATTTTATTCACTTCATTCATCAATCTTTAAAACATTACTCGCTGTTTTTTTTTTCAGTGACCAACAGTTCCTATACATTTACATACATGTTCTTCCCCTGCTTTATATTATTCCTCTGTTTACCTTAAGTCATAAAGGAGAGGAATCTTAATTCATTAACATAATACAGTAATCATCATTCAAGTGGTACGTAACTTCGTAAACCTGTATTGTGTATGGTCTCAAAAGAAGCTTTGCTGTAGGTAAACATGCCAATACATTCACTGGCAAAGTTAACCTTCGATCATGACTTTGACCTTAGACACACAAGACTTGAAGTGGCTGTTCTCAACTTTGACTACTGTACATACTGTAATACCTGTATCATGAAGTTTTATCTAAATAGCTGTTGTAATATAAGTGTCTGACTCTTAAGAGAAGAAGTTTACAGATTTAAACCATAATAAATCAACTCCTTTGAAAGGGGGGGGGGGAAGATAACAAGATCAGGTTGCCATTATAATAACACCATGGACACATCACATAAGATTAATTCATTGACTGGTGATCTTGACACATCTTTTATTAATTTATTGGTCAACAAATATAGCTTCTGTGAATTTAGTATCTTAAATTCAAGCTGGACTAGGAGGAGGTAGGCTAAGTTTGATGATAAATTATCTTTACCAATGTCAAAAATACTGTCTGTTGATGACTATACGAGTACATGTAAGTACAGGTAACTAAAAAAAAATAGATAGGTTTGGATATCATCATCATCATCATATCAATCAACCATCAGAATTGGAAGTAGGTTGAGTTTAAAGGTCATAGATGTTAGACACACTGAAATCACAACATTACAAAAGATACCTCACAGAACAGCCACTTGTCCTAATCACCCATAAAGAGGCGAGATATGATAAAAAAACGAGTGAGAGTACAGATCCCTCTACATTAAACCTGATCTCCCACTAGCAGGTTTTACCCACTGTTGTGCTCTACTCCCTGTGCCTCTAGTTACCATCAATTATTTCCTCTCCACTGATGTCTTCCAGTAGGTCCCCTGACACCCTCCTCACTCCCCCACCCCAGAAGCCTCACAACAGCTTCAGACGTTACTAAATGTTCAGGGGGTGACACCATACTAATGAAGAAAACAAGAGCTCTGCATTTTTAGTCTTTACATCAGCTATGAACATAATGAACTGCTATGACAGTTTTAATTTTTTTTAATTAGTTTGAAATTAAATTGATCACAAAATGACATCAGCACTAAAACTAATGTATATACACAGATGATGAGAATGCCCTAATCTCACAATGTAAAATGAATAAACTATACAAACTTGTGCAAATGACAACAGTTAGATACAAGATGGGTGAGCTCTCAAGATGGGTTTGGGTCTACAGGAACCCTTAGATCATAGAAACATGAATAACACACACGGTTCACCCCAGCTAACCATCAAAGAATAAATAGATATATTAAAGTGTAAAAAAGGGGGAAAAAAAAGAGATTAAAAGTCAAACTGAACATTATATACAGGAACATCAATTTTTTTTCTTCATTGTTTTATGCCTTTTTCTATAATGTTGCAGGATGACCGAATCATAGAACATAACACTAGTCCATTGAAGGTTTATTTCACCATTATCTACAATACAGATGTCAGTTACTGTATCACCTGTACTACATACTCCACAACACACAAAACCTAGTGTAGCTACATGAAGGGTATCCAATCCTCCACTCTGGTCTTGAACTGGACCTGTGACCATTAGCTGTGTTCTACTGATTGATCTACAGTGCCATTAAAATGAAACTAGACACACACACATATATATTAAATGGTTCAGAGCTCCAAGGCCATTAATTTGAATGACAAGGATTTTTTCTCTACAATAAAAGTTACTTCCGATAAATCAGTTCAGCTCACATTCTCAAGAGGTACAGATGGATTCCACATCAATAAAAAATCAATGTAAGGAGATAAAGACTAAATTCCACTCTTTAATTCAAGGAAGGAATATCAGGAGACAACAATAAAAACACAACAAAATTAATAAGTCAAGGAATAAGAAAAGACAATAAATATGAGAAAACTGCTGCTGACCTATATTCAGTCATCACATGACAACATACAACAACGTGGCTCTTCCAGCTACATACAGTACTGTACACAGATCAGGATGCCCAGAGATCACAAATAAATACAGTATTCAAGATCACAAAAAATTCCCTTCAATCAATGCCAAAGCTGAAAAATGTTGGTTAGGTCACTTCACAAACTCTTTCATCTTTTAATCACGAGAAAACAGGCTATAACAAATAGTACACCACAAACAAACATGCAAGATATTACAAGAAAAGAAAAAATATAATTCAGTATAAAAACAGATCTTGGTTTTAATTGTACTTAGGATGAAGGTTCCTATATGTATGTATTAAAAGTACCAGGTATTATACAGGACATGCAGGAGTTTTCAAAAGGAAGAGTGTGGTAGCTTTGGAATAAGGGACAAAATACTTACTGTAACTGGAACGCGGGCCGACAGCACCACATTACTCCTGCGGACACACGCACTAAATTAACTCACGCACACACAACCACCACTCATCATCTAAGTGTAAACTTCCAAATTTAGTTGAAAAATAATACAATCCACTACATCTGTGTAACATTATTTCTGTACTAGTACAAACACACACATTACATTAACTTGAGCTGACAAACAGCAATATATCTGTACACTATTGAGTCTTGCTAAAAATGATACAATCAACTACATCTGTTGCTTAAGTATGACTGATTTGCTCTACAGGTAATTGTCATCTATAGTTATGATTATTTACTTTAAGACACGAGGGAAGAGAAAATACAAGTACATACTGTACAAAATGTATACTTTTTCCACCACAGTTTGATGAAGGAAAAAATTACCATGTCTTATGATCTATCCACTTCATTACTATACTAATACAACTAATACCGTACTTGTTTTACACAAGAAAAACAAATATAGAGTACAAGAATATAGTACTTTGTATATCAGATACAGTTCCTCATGATTATCATTAATGTTTTATAGCCCTTTTCTATGCTTGCAAGGGTTAGCTGCAATTACTTGATGGAACCTCTTGGGTAAAACCAGGATGTTATGTCTCCCCCCACCCTCACTGAAAAACAAGGGGATAGGCTCAGCTCTGATGACCTAGTTGCCATCAGGTATGTTGAAGAAAGTTTTTTGGTTGGATGCCTTCCCTAATGCCAACCAACAGGCTGGAAACTGCTACTAAGTAATTCATATTTGAGTAAATAAAAATAACACAACTTTACTCTCACCAAAAATTCCTACCTTTATATTGTACAGTGTTTACATACCTTTGATTTATAAAAAACACTTTCTCCTACAAAAACAAGATGAATCCACTTTCACAAAATCAATATTACAGTCCTCAAAGTTGAAGTAAAACTGAGCTTAAATTCATTTAGTTTCTTGATTCCTGTGTCTACGGTAACTTTATTGTAAAAAAAAAAAAAAAAAAAAAAATTATATACCCAGGGAAGCTGAAAAATTGAAGACCTCAAAATGGTCCTATATATGTAATGTTTACAGACACTGGTTTATCAATGTGGACATTTTGGTAAAGATATATCTTGAACAATAGTCTTGAAAACTTGGCTTATCCCACAGCTTTATTGTCCTGCATTAACTTAAAGGCCACATTTTTGGAGCCCTCGTATATAGAGCACAAAGTACTGTATACACTATATAAAGTGTTTGTGACCCCATCAGTGGTATGCCTCCTTTAAACGCTGAATTTCAACAAATCCAAATATTCCCACAAATTTGTGAAGTGTACACAATTAAGGGCCTGGTGAGAGCTTTTGAATTGACACAACAATAATTTCTGGGCCCACATAAAGTACAGTACCATGCGTGTCTACTTTATGCTCTCACACAGAGGCTAAAAAATTAGTATTGTACCATATCTAAATACCTGATACAGTTCCTCATTGTGTCCAAAGTTTTTGATCAAACAATTAAATGCCTCACAAATAGCTGATCTATCTAGGTTGTGCCTATTTATAACCTGACGTCCTCTAACGACCAGATAATATAGTACGATCACCATGTCTTCAAGTCATAGACCAAGGAGACCCACTTGCTGGGAACTAACCTGATGATTATTCCACCCCTCACCATAGCAATCATTGTCCATAAAAAATGAGAGAGAATTCATAATAGCCGGGGCATTTGCTAACCTTGGCCTTGGGCATAGTAGGTAAATGCATGAATTAAAAAAAACATACAAAAGTATGATTAAAAAGACAAGTGAACAATAAATGAGACAAGTAGTAGTGTTACAAGAACAAGTAAAAAATTTACAATACTATTCTTTAGAGAACCTGAAATGTTGTACAGTATACTATACCAACAATTTTGTGTGGATTTACCCTCCAAACTATGTACAGGGTACAACTTTAATAGTATCATGCAAACAGGGAGGGGCTTTCATGCCAGAGACCCATCAACATGCAAGCCAGTCCTGAATAATTCAAGGTCAGGGGAAAATATTGACCACTTCAACTACAATCAATAGCACTGAGCATGATACCGTGCTATTTGTCCTACTCTAGAGTAGTCTAAAGTGATGACTTAAATATTCAAGCCGGTAGTCTGATCAGGTATGGTGAAGAACAGCAAGGGGAAAATAAAAGAGGAGAACAAAGAGAGACATAATGAACCTAGGTGAGGAAGTCAATAAATTTCAGAGATAAGGTTGTGGCTCCCAGGACAAAGACAACACTTGAACACACCTGCTCATCAGTTGACCAATCACCAACATTACACTTCCTTTATTAAACATAATAATTTAATCTTTGTATCGACTGGTAAATATCTTATTGATTTTTTACCACTAAATCTGAATGAAAAATCATCCCACCACACCTCTGATTTGGTTTCATTAACACTGCATCTACTGTATATACTGTACTGTATTGTGGTTGCAGAGAATAAAATTATATATAAATAAGCATATGAATATACTGTACATGTGATACGAATTTTGCCTAATTCCCTTAAAATGGTACAGTATACACATAGCATAATTAAGTGAGAATTACAAACATTACATATGTTCTCTATTTTTGCATCTCATGATATAAACTCTTTAGGATTGAATATTGAGAATGCAACTAAGTTTAACAAGGATAGTTTTGGAATTGTGATATTTCTGTTAACTAATATAAACATCATGGTAAAAATTTTATATTCGACAGCATGACAACCTCAAGTGTGTGTAACATACAACACACAAACACACAAATGCATCAGCCTCCCCTTCATAATTTTCCAGTGAGCCTTTTAACAAGATTATTCCAGTTTTTTCCTAATATAAGGGGCACGAATGCTCATTTGTGAGTGTCGTTTGTTACATGGTGTTCTATTTTAGAGTACTGGTACACTATAAATTTCTTGCCTAATATTTATTCTTTTCCATGAATAATTAAGATGGGGTAATGCTTAATGTCAACTCTTATACAATGCTCATTTAAGGGGATGATTTCATATAAGAAAACCGTATGAAAGAAGAACTTACTTAATGATAAACACTGTGGTATGTTGTTGAGCAAACTGTAGGTAATAAGGTCACTGGCTCATTCATCAGTAGTTAAGAGTAAAACAAATTCATTTACCATAAGATTATGATGCAAATAAAATGAGATGATGATATAGACATTTCATCAGGACTATGCAAGATCAAAGAGCTACATCTCTTCACTTGCTTAATGAGGGTAAATGTTTTGAGAAAAAGCAGAGTATAATACCTGTAAATACTGTATATTAGGTTGTTTCCCAATTAGAAATAAATCCTAAAATATAAAATATGGTAGGCAACAGGGAACTTAAAGTGAAAAGTTCTGTGTATTTGGGAAGTAACATTAGCTGTGATGGTAGATTTATGAAAGAAATTAAAACAAGAATAGATCAAGCAAAACAGCAATTTCACTGTTTTATAGTACACTCTCAGATGTTTTGGCAAATGTGTTAAAAAATGATAATTTCTAAATTAAACCGAACATAACCTTAGTTGATAAGAAAACAGCAGCAGGAGTGTTGTTAGAAGACCTCACCAACCTAACAAAAGAAGCCTACCTAACCTTATTAAACAGAAAGAACTTACTATGATATGGTGTAATTTTATGTTTTTGTGGATGTGAGAGCAGCCTCCCAAACTGTGCAGCTCATAACCATACACTGACTTCGATTGGAACCGTCAATGTGATAGGCGGGGATGCTCCTTCTCGGCTGCATTATCGCCGAAAAAGACAAAATAGTGCGTGCCTAGTCGCCCAATTATCTACCAAATGAAGTAGTTTCCCAAAAAATGATTATCATATCAGAACTCACAGATGAAAATATATTAAGAATAAAAACATCAAAACAAATAACGCGTCGGCGGGTTAGCCATCAATATTAGCCCTGTTTATTAATACTGTACCCAACCTTATATGTTCATGATATATAATCTCACAACCTTTACCTCTTCCCCCGGAGGATTCAACTCCTTGCTAGAACTCTCCCTAGCCAAAATATAGGGCAATTGTTTGTTAAGGACCACTCTGCCAGTGATGACTCTAAATTCAGCAACCCATCAAAGATTTATTTTAAATATCCTATAAAAAACTACAAAAATTATAAACTAATGATAGATGAACAACAACAACAAAGCAACTTCAATATCTCAGCTGGATGACCTAAAATACATGACCAAATACTGAACACCAATTAAATATGCATCAGACACCTTCTTCATAACAAAATATAATCCTGGTCATACTATCACCAAAATATACAACACTCGCTTGTATCTAGAGGGTACATAGTTTAAAATAATTAACATAACTTTGTAAATATGTACCTTATTCACTCATGTCGCAAGGACACGAGTCTTGGCTGCAGCTCCACCTCCCACTCAGCTTTAACTCTGAAACATATATAACAACAACTTTTAAGTGCTTCGTATTTTTTATGTACTGAACTGTATTAATTGTTTTAACCCTTAAGGGTCTGACATCGTCCCAGAGCACCCAACATAGTATGGGTCCGATGTCATCAATCTAGTGCTTCATTTTTTAAATTTTCCAGCGTGAGTAGCATGACTATTATTGTGGCAATAGCTCATCCTCGCTCACCAACACTTTTCCTTGACCGCATCTTAAGCAAATAATCAGTATAACAGTTGTCACCATGGAGGCAGGTCGCACATCTACCTCTCTGGATTACCCACCTAGAACTCCAGCTCCCGAGCCTTGCTACTCCAAGCCACAGAGTGGTGAATGTACTGTATATAGTGTATATAGTATAATAATAAGGAACCATCTGAAGGTGTTGTGAAGTTGTAAGAACATGGAGTGGGTTGGAAGGGCACCAGCGTTCACTCTCAGATGCAAGTAACTGCTAGATGGGTGCTGAGGTACAAAGTCTTGCCGACTTCTCCGACTCGTCAGTACCCATAGGTGGAGAGTACAGTAATATTTATGTTACTTCCTATTGACTTACATGTATGTCTAACATTTAATAAAACTGGAATATTCATTGTATGATTTTCATTCTTTAACCTACTACTGTATTCAGTTTCTGATGGGAGACTTCCCAAGATTCGTCAAACCTTTAAGGGTTAATTACAAACTATTAAAATACAGGTACAGTATTATGAATATAGATTGTGGGTCTATAACTGGCAACACAATCAGAAATATCACTGTAAAACTAAATATGGTACAGTACTACAGTACATTACATGTACTGTACAGTAATGTCTTATCTTGACCTGGCCAAACCAAGGTTAAGTTTTGTCTAGTACAGTAATGTACAGTACTATACAGTACAGTATTAGACTATGATGGTGAATACTTATAATTTTTACCTTTTTTTCCTCACTGTGGTGTCAACTATGACACCATTGCCATAAAAATGACACGTGCTCTCAATCCCAAAAATTAGCTAATAAACAATGCTAACCCTCAGTCATACCCAGGCCCGTCCTTTAGGGGGGGCGAACAGGGGCGACTACCCGGGGCCCCGCGGAGCCCAGCACTAGACCCAGTGACCTCAGACACATTACCTGTTGACTGGCTAATCTGACCTGACAGTTTATGCCACCATCGCAACCGTGACCTTACCATCCGACAGTCCCATGGGGGTTGGTTCCTCTGACCGCATAATCTGACTCCATAATCCATTGCACTCCACTCCACACAGCCAATCCACCAGGGTCAGTAACCAGTGAGATCAGATTGTGTCCTGTCCTGTGACTCCTGCCTTTTGAGTTTTGTGGATATTTTTTTTTTGTGTTAGAAGGGTTGGTTCAGGCCAAGGTTGGGTCAGATTATCCCCAGTTGACAGACAGCTTGGGTCAATCAGCCTCCACATGTATATACAGGTAATATTCTCTGTCTCTGTCATTATCAATTGAGAAGGGCTCGTGATGAGCCGAAACTGAATTGGTGCTTAAAATAAACTTTAAGTCTCCATGAAGTGTGGTTTTTTTTACCCTCATATACAGTATATATATATATACAGTATATATATATATATATATATATATATATATATATATATATATATATATATATATATATATATATATATATATATATATATATATATATATATATAAAATACAGTAGCTATTTATACATTAAAGAGCCTCCCTTCACTACACTGTGGTATACAAATATATACAAATGAAAGTAAACTTGCTTAGGTGATTCATCTATCTTGAGAAATTTCCTTGTTTGGAACGCTCATACAGTAAACTCCAAGATATGGAAAACAGTTTTGTGCTTGTATTTGTCATATGTTATATTGGCCATGTGATGTAGGTACTGCACCCAATCTTTGTGCCCAGCCCACCTACAGTAATACCTTATCCCCCCCAGGCCCCGGGAAAGACATGCAGGTTATCCCCACTTTCTTCCCAGGTCACCAGTCACCTGTCTCACCCCTCTGTCCACAATACTTTAAATGTTTTCTCCACAAAATACAGCACCACCCCACTATGCATACACATCTTCTGTGTGTCTAACTTCAAGATTGAAAAACAAATCATAATATATTGTTCAGCAAATTCACCCTCATTTAAACTCCCAAAGATATTCTTTTCTCGTTTTTTTTATACACATTTCAATAAATAATGTTTATATAACTTAAAAAAATGATACAGTATAGTCTACAGACATCTTCTCCCTGCCGGCTTGCTGGACCTCCCTTGGGCCCGGGCCCCTGTGTTTTGGTACCATTTACACCCCTCTCACCTCCTAAGAATTCCTCTGTTCCACTACTGTGACTGCAAGTGGTTATTGAACTCCATTTGTCTTAAATTTATTATGGTTCAATGGTAATCCCATCTATGAATTTTGTTATCAACTCATACAGGTCACGTACTCAAGTTTACAGACAAGAATATTAGCTATGTATTGAATGTCAGTTATGGATGGTTAAATTTAGCTAAATTATACAATATTGCAAGATAACAATTTATATTTACTCAACATAGAAGCCTGTATGTATATTTTCAGGAGAAATTTCAGATGACCTGAAAATTCCAAATGAACCAAATTATTTACCTAATATATTGATCACTTAACATGCATGTGTGTGCTCAGTGGCTGCAAGTTAATGCTCAGGAGGGACTTTTTTTTTTAAGAATTATATTACAAAAAAAAAATTCCTCATCAACTTTTGGCTTTCTTATCGTGTAAGAAAACATCTACCTTCTATACAGAAATGTCCTTAAGTTGCTGGTTCAGGCACAACTATCCTCGTGTTATCTAACTCCAGGGAGGGGGCTAAGTTAGGTTACGTTAGGGTGTTTAATCATCAAGTGAAATAATGAGGAGCATTATCTTCAAGTAATCTGACAATCTTAATATGGAAACCTAAAGGAGTGAATTTTTGGACAACTTACTTTAGTGCTTCCTCAGCATATTAAAACAATTAAAATTAATGAAAATCATAAGTTCAAGAATGTTTTGGGCTAAGAGGATGAGAACATTTCTACTTAAAGGTAAATTATAAGAATGAAAGCTTGAAGTAAATTATTACTACCATATTTTCAACAGGATATGAGAGAATGGGTTAATGGTAAACTTAAATATTACCATTCCATTGTCTTAACATACATGCATAACAATCACAATACTCTGCAGTTCTGCCATACAGTAGTAAAATACCTCAAACACTAATGTCATATCACACCAGATATTTAAAAAAAATTTTTACTGAAGGCATGTACTGTCAAACACACAAACAATTCAACAAACAAACGAGCCTTCCTCCACACCCATGACCCTCTATGAAAACCTTAAGGAAATTTCACATCAAAAGCAACATCATAAAAATAGTCTTAACTATTCTGAGGTTATATGTCTCCAAGCCAGTAACTAGACATGTGGAAAATAAGTAATTTACATGAAAGACGTCTTCCTCAGAATTTCCCAGTTGTGTTGCGACGCACAAGGAGAGCTTCAATAACTAATCTTTCAATGGTGTCTCGTATACAAACACCTCAGATTCAATAACAGAGTACCTCAATGGATAATCCCATCATCACAAGGTTATAATTCTCACCTAAGAAGAGAAAGGAAGCGTTATATCCCGCCAAAAGCTTCGTAAATCCCATAAGCGACTTGTACGATCAGCTGGCCCGATGCCTCTGTTGATATCGTGTTGTTACTAGCATAATAAAGAAATGTGGAGGAGTTTCTCTAAATCCCAACCTTGTGATTAAATATACTTTATAATAATCTAAAAACAATTTAAAATATATATTAATAACATTATACTAACCTATTAATGTTTAAAAGTTCTGGAATTTGAAGTATTAGCGACTGTATCCGTAATTAGATTCGTCATTTTCCAGTACTTGGTCCCAGAGACCCGGCGGGAGCAGTCGATGAACGAGTGTGGCGCGACCAGTCTGGTTCATTCACTCCTAGCTCATCATTTTTTTCTTTGTGAAATCCTGTATAGGGAATCACAGCATTGAGCTAATCTGACGTTTATCCACACTTCGAGTCTTCTTCATTAATATACACGCACATGAAAAAAATATACATCCATATAACTTAAAACAAGTCTTCCAAAGTTTTCATTGTTTAATTGTTCTATTAAGACATATCTGATTTGTGCGAGTCATTGTGAATATAAACACATTCTTATATTATTAAGCCATTTTCTCCTAAATTTAAGATAAAACATATATGGTAGAGGTTAACTGCAATACTGATACCATTTGGGCATCATTTTACAGTAACTTAATATAGCCAGCTAGATTTGTTTTCATAATTATCAGTACTGAGAGAAACACTTCATCGGCGTGTCTGATGCACATGAATCAGCCAACATGTTTTTTCTCACCTGCACTTATATTGTGCTTATTCGCTAAACTATCCCGGTAACTGGTGGTGATTAAATTTCCCTGCACAGTAAAACGGGGAGAAGGCACGAACGGTATTTTATATGTTTGTAAGTGCTGATTTCTGGTAGGAAAAACTCGAGTTGGCACTTTCCGAGCTTCGGTGATTTCTGGAGGGAAGGTTTATTCCTGCATCATCACAGATTTCTAGTCATTAAATTTCGAGATTCCTGGATCACAATGTATTGTTGTATTACTGCTGGCGAGAAGATTCGTGGGTCATCCTCTTTGTCTTGCCTTTATCCGGCGGAAAGTTTCCTGGGTCATTATTTCCGGCGTGAAAGTCGAGGGGGATTCTCGCTGATTTATTGATGGTTTGTTAATGAGGAATTCTCAAAATAAATTTGAGTTACGGTCTTCAAATTGTGGACAAAATTACCTTCAACTTATAAAGAGATTTTGCTATCTTCATATACAGTATGTTATCTCCTCTCCAAACACGAACCAAAAAATGTACGGATCCTTGATGAATCAGTTTGGGGGGTTGGCTGAAGGCCAGTGTTTAGAGTCATATCCGCTTCCTCTTGTATTATTGTTCATTAAGCTATTTACACCAATTTTATTAAAAAAAATTATTTTGTTAATGTTATTACTATTTAATACATATTATTTGTATTATTGGTGGATTTACTTCTCTATTCAAAGGTATATCTTGCTTATGCCCAATATGCCATGTGTATCAATTTTGTTTATGATACAGATAGGTTATTAAACAAAGAAAATGACAGTCACCACTGAGAGGGAGTACGTGACGGCTCACACGGACATTTTCATGAGGGTAAGTTTCTCCAAGTGTTAAATCGTATTCTAGCAATCCCAGACAAAAACGACTTGTTGTGGTCTAACAGTAGATTACGTGCCTGAAGAGTTGTTGAAGCTGTTATACATTACAACACCTGGCACACGTTCATAACTCGCCATCTCAGTTCTCAGAGGATGATATAAGGATAGGTACAATAGTCACACCTTATATTTTATTTCAACAATTAAATCTTGAATAACAGGTTTCTTGCTCTAAGTCTTATATAAATTACAGTCTTCAATTGTTATGTATGTACAGTCACCCAAAAAAGTCCTGTCGCGAACCACGATTCAGACTCGTGAACCCGAAGCAGTAGACACTGATACATTATTGTCCATAAATGCTTCGGATTCAAGAGTCTGAATCTCGGGGTTCATGGTTCGCGACAGGACTTTATTGGGTGACTGTACTTATCCCCTTGTGTACGGAGGTCTGTTGTTGAGTAAAATCATATGGCGTTAACCAAAATAAAATGTTGAAAGTGGCGTCCCGTAGTGAAGGCTGGTTGTTGCTGTTAAAATGTTATTACAGTACTGCGCTTCAACAACTCTAGGTGAAGGGGTTAAAAACCATAGTAGCTGTAGAACGGACACACATTAATAAATAAATTGAAGAGAGTATAGTATCTTTCCTAGTTTTTAATAGTTAAGGGCTGAAACTGTCCTGGTGTTTCAAGACTTTTAATTCTTAAATAACATTAATACTTCATAATAAATTATTTTTTTAATTAATTTTATATAATTTTTAAACATAAAAACTATCTAGTAAGTGATCAGTCATGATAAATCTTCCACGAAAAACACGTGAATTATACTTTACAAAATTCGGATCACGTGATGATTGGGTTATTAGGCTCCCCAGCTTATTTTAACTGATGGTTAAACACTCCCAACGTTATCGGGGGAGGATTACGTTAAGTCATATTAGGTTAGCGTGGTAAATCAGGCGAGATAAACTGGGGTGCCTAATCTTTACGTGATACAAAAATTATTCAAAGCGTAGCAACTAGACGAATGAATAATAGCAGGAGTGTATACAGTACAGTATATCAATTTCAACAACAAAGACATCGATAAAATATCTTCTTGGAATAAAAATCACAATAGATGTAAAAACTTCCACCAGTTAATAATAGATTAATATATCAAATTTAACTTAGATGTTTACAAACACTTGAAATATTCTATCATAAATAACAAATAGTTGCTAGATATAACGGTTATTCCCAACTACAGATACTGAGGAGAATACCATCCATATTCCAGCTGGTTCTTTCATGATGACAATGGAATGGCATACTCTCTCCCTAGCTCTTTATCTATCCATCTAAATATATCTCTTTATCTATCCATCAAAATATATCTCTTTATCTATCCATCAAAATATATCTCTTTATCTATCAATCAAAATATATCTCTTTATCTATCCATCAAAATATATATATCTTTCTCATTATCTATCCATCCATCCACCCATCTATCCATTTGTTAATTTATATATCTGCTTGTGTCTCTTTATCTATCTTTCTCTTATCCATTCAATCACCTATCTATAAGCAGAGAAAGAGAGGGATAGAGAGGATAGAGTATCGTTCAGTACCCCATAAACTTCGGATACTGTGAGGCTCTGGCCACTAGCACTTTGTCTCCGACTCGGATGGTGCCAGTTACGTCGATACCGAAGTTAGCACCGAATATAACCTTATCGGGCCACGCCTTAACCATCACGGGCGGCTCAGTAATTTTCCGATACCTGTCAGGAAAGTAAACATGTGATATTTAATTTTGTCTGTAGGAACTTGTGTAACACCTGTCATGGGAAGTAAAACTGTGGCACCTATCTTTGTCTCACTTCCCCCCTCCTTACTCCTCCCACCTGGCTCTTCTCTTTCCCCTACCCACGGCTCTCTCCTCTCCCTCCCTTGACTTCCCCCTTCCCGTTCTCCTGGTTCTTCCCCCTCCCCTGTTCTTCCTCGTGGATCTCCCCTCTCCTTCCCCAAGCACTCCCCTTATTCTTCCCCTCTCCCTCTGACTCGCCCCTCCTCCTCTGGCTCTCCCCTCACCCCTTCCGCTTTTCCGTGACCCCCTGTTCCCCTTCCCCTCCCAGACCCCTCTTCCCCCAACACTCACGTTCGGAGGGTACGGAGAGGTTCCGACTTCGGGTGTAAGTCTCCTGTAGAAGGGTTCATCGTCATCCTCATACACCTAGAGTAAAAAACTACAATAATACCTGTAGTAGTAATAATAATAATAATAATAATAATAATAATAATAATAATAATAATATCCCGTCTATGGTTTTGGGCACGATAAAAACATTAACATGGAATCTCTTCATCTCATAGCCAAAATGGCGTTGAAACTGCATTAAGCCTCTATGCTACTGTAAGTTAGCGTCGCTCTTTGAAGTTGCAGAAGTGAAGACGGTCAAGTGCAGTTGGCTGTATTCGCACTGCCTCCAAAACATGCCACCAAGCTTATGACACTCAACTATCACGATCACCTACTACTACTACTACTACTACTTTTTTTTTTTTAAACGTGGCCTCCAGCCTCCCCCAATAGCCACACCTTCGCCACCATTTATTTACCTTAATATTAAATATCCTAATACATAAGAAACTATCCTATCTGTGTTAAATTAGTTGAGCCGCAGATCCATGCGGCATTCGGTGACTGTAGCCTCATAGTCGATATCTGCAGCAGTTGTCGGAGTAGGGGCAGAAGCTCTCGTTCCCCTGAGGCAGAGCAAAGCCGACCGAAGGAGAGAGAAGGACAGTCGACATCTCATCCAGGCTGTGACATAACTTCTGGGCTGCTGCTTCTGTTCGGAGATCAGCTCCGCGAGTCTGGCGTAGAAACATCTTGCACTTGGGCCCATCCCACCAGAGGTTGTGAACACTAGAGGAGTGAAGCTGCCTTGATCAACATTTTGAATTCTCTCCCCATATGCCCTTCTCTTGTCGTTCTCGTTCCTCCTATGCGCAGCATCGAGAGCTAGGTTACGGTGACAAACGGCCATGGGATCAAAAATCCTGATGTCGAAGAAAGCTCGCTGTCCCCGCGTCCAGAATCCTCGAGCACTGACGTCCACACGGGCTTCGTTAGATGTGTTTGAAGTCCTGTGTTGGAGGATCTCGCCATCCAGTGGAAGGAGGGTCGGTTCTACCATGACGTCCCGGCAGATTTCCTTCAACATATTTGCTGTGAGATCCCTTACCTCGTCATGCCTCATGCATATGAAGCCCCCCTTCTTGCAAACCATGGCGTGATCACCATCATAGGAATAGCCACACACGCATTGGGAGGGCAAACCATCTACTGGCCAACCGTACCTTAGAGCAATGGCATCTGTAAATTCTTGTTTGTTAAGGCTGAAACCATTTGCCCTTATCGGTAATGTAGTTAACCAGTTCGAGGCGCCCACCTCCTGCGCTATAGCTACTTTTTTTGTCAAATTTTCTGGAACCAGCAGCAATAGTTGCTGCAACATGTCATTTTGGCAGTGCTGCCGATCTGTTGTAATGGACCTACGGATCTTATTAACTTCGCTGGTGTCCACTTCCCCTGTTGCATTCTGGGCTATTATGTGGTCAGTGAGGGCTGCCGTGAGCTTAAGTGAATTTTGATGTTCAGAGTCAGCAATCTCCTCTGGATTAGTTAGTCCCATCCCTCCCAGTCTTGGTGGAAGTGCAAGAAGTGTTCTTTCTTCTAGAGTTGAGTCGTGGTGTTTCACTAGTTTGGGAATGAACTTGACACTGATTGCTTCTTCCAAAGGGTGGAGGAGGGGTCGGATCTCAGGGATGGTACGCATCAGGTAGTTCCAACGATGCTTGACTCCATGTGTGAATGCTGCAAAGGCCGCATGTGGCTCTGTGTTTGCAATCTCCGATAGAGCATAGACTTCGCTAACCCACTCATTCACCTTTCCCCCTACGTACTGGGTCTTGAAGTCCGTAGTGCCAATTACTGCGCCTAGATGTCTTTGGCCGTCCTTAGTAATTTTGACCTCACTTTCGCCGAAAACCTCCAAAGCCCGATCATAATGATCTGGCTTCACGATGAGGAAGGATTTGCTGGCGTTAGGGTGGTACCCTATTTGTGGACCTCGCGATGTTACCAGGTCCCACCACTTTTTGATGTCCTCCACTTTTCCTGCTCCTGTGAGGTCATCAGCATATGCCACTTGTTTGACTACTACTACTACTACTACTACTACTACCAATAAGACCTTTACCTCTGACAGGGTTTAAGCTTCCTGAAGATCGTTTGGCCAATTTTGACGAAGGCCCAGTCGTCTTCGTCGTGAGGGGCGGTTCCGACGATCTCAATGTTAGGGCGAATCTGGGTCATGGTGATGGGGGTATCGAGGCACTTGTTGAGGTTTTCCAGTGAGGCTGTTGTGGTCATCATGTAGGCAGTGTTGTTGGCGAAGTACACCTAAAGGAAGATATGTTAAATGTTTACGGATCATTACACATGTTGAAATGACACTAATTTATGGGCCCATAAATACACACACACACACACACACACACACACAGACACACACACACACACACATATATTCCCCTTCTTTCTCTTTTCCTTTCGTCGTTCTTTCTCTCTCTACTCCGAATAAATATTGATTGATAAGACAAAAATCTCTCTCACCAGCTGATTACTGTCAACAAATCACCTGTCTCAGCTGATTACTGTCAACAAATCTCTCTCTTTCTCAGCTGATTACTGTCAACAAATCTCTCTCTTTCTCAGCTGATTACTGTCAACAAATCACCTTTCTCAGCTGATTACTGTCAACAAATCACTTTTCTCAGCTGATTACTGTCAACAAATCTCTCTCTTTCTCAGCTGATTACTGTCAACAAATCTCTCTCTTTCTCAGCTGATTCGTGTCACTGAGTTATATTTTCAAGTACAACTCACCTTGTCTGTCTTCCTGAACTGTTTGAACTTGAACTTCTCCGCATTAAGGGCCTCCCTCTCCTCTGCCACATTCCCCTTATACAGGAGTCGAACCTTCATCTGCCCCTCGTTGATCATTTTAGTGAGCCACTCAGCCACCTCGTCCCCACAGTCCACGCCTTGCACTGGCTGACCCATTATTCTACAGGAAAATGAAATGATCACTTGAAGACTAAACCACCCTAGTGGTAAACCTAATCTAACTCTCCAGGTAGCGTTAGGATGGTTAATCATATTCATCAGGTGAAATAAATTTGGGGGGATAATCTTTAGGTGATCGAAGACAGAATGGGTGTCAATAACATCCCATGAACGCCAACACTCACTTGGTACGGATAATACGTCTCTCCTTGGTAATCTCCTCGAGGTCGACCGTGATTGGAGTGTGACCTTCAGCTTCCAAGGTAGCTACGTGACCCTCTATCTTTGTCATCACCCTCCGGAGTCGCCCTGAGGGTCGACCAGGCAACAGGGTTCCCTCAGCTGTCACTGCCATTAACACCCTGGTGGTCGAAGTTAGCTGATCAACTGGTTAATGTAAACAAAGTCTGGATCAGCTGATGAATATAAACAAAAGTCCGAACCAGCTGATTAATGAAACAAAAGTCTGGATCAACGAAAGATGGAGCAACCTTGAGTTATGACAACAAACATTTTCCTCCTGTGTCTGTCAGTAACAAATACTAAGTGTAAGTTTGAGCCACGTAAACCTCCGCTGGTCACAAATGGTCCAAGTCCAAAACTGAGGAAGATGGGCTAAACATGACCTAGGAACTGACCTGTCCTGGAGAGTGTGGTGAGCCAAGCCATGAGTGGTGGCTTGAGCCTCTTTCACAGACACACCTCGACCTGATTTAAGTGGGAAGATGCTTAACTGGTACACCTCACCCACCTCCTCCCACCTGCACAGAAAAAACGGAAATATAGTCAAAGAAAACGTAGCATGATACTATATCCTAGGCTCATTATTATGTAGTCCCCTCCACTAGTGCATCTACAAGGGCTCGTCAGATTTTGTGCAGTGTGGCAACGCTGTGTTTGTTTATATTCGACAGAATGAACCTCGTAATAGTAAACATATTATGGAATCAAATTAAAACAATATTGAAACAAATATCTCAAAGATAATGATTTGTGGAATTTTTATGAAGAGCCCCTGTAAACGGACGAGTGAAGACTGAAGGGGACTGTACACAATAAGGGGTATGGGGGATTAAAGGGATGGTGAACACACTGAACCCACACAAGGACATGTTGAGGCCACATGCATTTCTTAGGCCAAGTACAGTACTTCATCCCATTGGCTTGTGATTCAAACTCTCAAATAACCTTATTCTAATACCACTGAACTCACTTGTCCGGAAGTCTCGTTGATGTATAGTATTTCCACGCCCACCATCCTGTGAGTGCTGTCACGCCCACGCCTACACCCACGCCCACGCTAGTCTTCTTGTCCAACATCCTGAAAAACAAGCATTTAAGATCAAAGTTCTTTGTGTTTGACATAATGTAAAAGGTCACTTAACTGATCATCCAAATGTTATCGGGTATATAATTTTTACCTACAACAAAATATCAAGCTGTATTAAGTTGACAAAATATGTGACTATAGGATGTGATTTAAATTCCTTCGTGTTGTAAACAGTCTGATTGTGGAGAGATAACTGTTATCTGCTAAACACTCACTGATGTACACCAGACTTGACCTCGAGTTGCGGTTTTGTGTTCAGAATAATCTGAAATTGTCTTTACCTGACAACAGTAAAATCCAACCAAGGATATTCTCAACTGGATTTCACGATATCGGAAAACATCTAGAAAAGGATCAGCTATTAGTTTGAGTTGAGTAAATGAAATTGGGAAGCTTGGGGCAGTCAATGGATTTACAATAAGAGACTGCATATGGGGAATCCTTCATCCAGTACATGGGCAGATTAATATTGAATGGAAAGATGTTATTTATTACATTACTACAGGATAATAATTCAAATGACTAGGGTAAACAAAATAACGAAGAGAAAATAAGGTGACCTGCTTACCTGCCGTACAGTTGGTGACCCAACACACACTGACCACATAATCTCTAACTTAACATGTACAGCAATTGGGCGAGTGCCAGATTCTCTCCTTCAGTTACCAGTTTATTGTTAAATGTTTGTGATTTATTTGATAATAGCTCTTTAGCAGGATGTCTCGACTGTCATAGGTAGTGTCGTATAGACTACTTTCAGTATGTTCGTATTGGAAAGTGATACCTGGTTAACAGGTTGAACGCCAAAATTCAAAATTAAAAGAACAGTAAGCATCATAACTGACACGGAGTTGCGTGATGCAGCACAACAGCTAGCACACCACCAGGAATTTCTTACTCACTCGTGGTCAAAATCGTTCTTTTCACTGTCACGAGTCGATAGTCAACAGAAGCGAACGCAAACTCACCAAACGTCTCCACAAACTAATATCCTTTCTAAATCAATACAGCATCTTGATAGCCGCAATTAGCAAGGTATTCTTGTTCTTATACCTGTATATTCAGGTGTTATTAATGACTAGGCTTCTTGGTTAAACTGAATAAAGAAATAATACCAAGGGAATGACATACAATACACTGACTGCCCTTGATGACTCAATGCTGTAAAAAAAATATTTTAGCATTGAAATCTATAAAACAATGATAGTGTAGTGGAATTCTCCCCTACAAACGCTGTTTGTCGCTGTCTAGCCGACCTCACCAATTCCCCAGTGTATGCCTCGTGGTCTAGGTCAACCAGCGCCGCCATACACCACGGAGCGGGGGTCAACTGCTAAGCCACGCCTACCCCCGCTATTTAAGACCTGACCTCGTGGTGATCTCTCTCTCTACCTACAGCCACAGCCAGCAACACCTCCTCCTCTGCCGCTGCCTGGCGGCCCTCCCTCCTCCGCCTGCCTGGCGGTCCTCTCTCCCGCTGGCGAGCATGGCGACCCACAAGCTGTCCTTCTCTGAGCGTCCTCACCAACCAGCTCTCTCTACATCACGCTTGTAACCATGCTGCCTTCCCAGCACCAAGCTGCATTGTACATCCAATACAACATGTATATAGAGAGCACATTGTGAGTTTCCTTTCTCCATTCCATCCTGAGTGTGAACCAAACATCTCATACCCCACAATAGAAATATGAGGTGGTGCTGAGTTATATCTCACTTATACTGATAACTATACTTACATTATCATTATTCCTGAGACATATTTCCACTAGAATTCAGATTTAAAACATTTATTCACAAATAATAATAAATTTCAAATAAGATATATCGTTAGAAATTGTTGTGGTCGTATTTTAGCACTTCAATTGACTATTTACCTAAATGCCTTAATGGTTGAATAAAAACTATACACCAAATGAACAACAAATGTAAGTACCGGACGCAATCTTAATTATAAACTGTGTAGAAATTAATTTGTATTGAAAAAACTTTGCCGGTGAAACTTTTATACATATCAATAACAACAAGAATAAGTTAAGGTATACAAACTTTCCCACAGCAAGACCTCGGCACATCACCTTGACAACTCGCCTTCTGCGTTTGTGTTTGAGTGTTTACATTTTTTTATCTCAGCTAGGATGACGTTATTTTGTGATGCTAGGAAGCTACAATAACCTTAGCAGGCAAGGAAAACCGTATATTGTATGTTGATCTTGATGCCAAAGAGAAGAAAACTACAGTTGATAGTGACAATACTGTACTGTACCACGTGGGACGCCTTCACAGCCTAGGTACATTAATGGCCGTATCTAGCTTCAATACTACTAAATTATTAATTTTTTTTTATTAAGATATTAGTATCATCATACTTGTTCGTTAATCAGGGCCAATTTGTAGTTTCAACCAACCACGGCTTTCGAGTTGAGCAATGTGTTTTTCAGGTGGCTTAGACAATTTTATTACACTTTTCTTTTATATCGTTTCCCTTGCAAATGACTTAACTATTCCGGGGATTCAGGGGGGGTGGAGCTCCCCGGTTAAGGGGTTAGGTTAGGTAATTTTAGGTAATTGCAAGGGAAACGTTATAGAAGAAAAGTGTTAAAATTGTCTACCTTTAAACCATCGGAAAAACACATTGCTCAACTCGAAAGCCGTGGTTGGGCGAAACTACAAATTGACCAATTATAGGGTTAATAGAATTTTATGAACTATATGTTTTACGAGAAGTGGAAAATTTCATCACTACACATCTTAGGAAAGTAAAGGGAAAATAATGTACACTTGGAAGCGATCAAAACTATTAGTCAACTATACAATCATATTATAGTTATATTAGGTTATTTCTGGGGTGACAAGTTACAAAAATAAAGATGAATTTCTGACAGGAAGTTGGAATGTGCAAGATCACAGCGAGACAGAAGCTTCTCACGGAGCTGACCACTTTACCCAAGACTGTTATTTTGGTGCTTGCGTGACTCAGCCAGTGTAGCATAACAGCTTACTTAAGTTTCACAGATTTTTTCTTATTTTTTTGCCTTATAACAAACAAGGGTTAATATTGACAAGTTACTCGTTGCAGTCTAATTTGTTTTCATGGGCCTTTTCTAACTATATTTTTCATTGCTGAGTTGGTGCCCATCTAGATATTTATAAGTTTCAATTAGGTCACCCCTTGCCCATCTATTGTATAAGCTAGGCTACTAGGCAGTTGCAGGCATTCGAATCAATGGGTAACTATGGTGCCGTAGTGCAGGCACCAGTCTGGTGGGGGTCCGACTAATTACCCAAATGTACCCAAATGTAGCCAAATATAGCCGGAATGAAGTCAAATAATGGTCCTAGATGAATAAATCGGACTGCCAATCACTTCTCGACTAGTATTTGGTGTCAGAAAGTCACAAAAAATTGGTAAACTTAATTTAATCTGAGTTAATAGATCAAGTGCATGTTGTAGTGGATGTCTACCCTACAAACTAACTACGTAGCAGCCCACCACCTGCCATCACATTCCAATGTGCCGCCTTCCCTAGCAACCAACCAGATGTTACCGTATCTTAGCAACGAAACTATTCACCGGCTACTTCTCGGGTTTTCCCACCATGACTCATAGAGGACTGGCGGCTGCTGCCGGGTGTATATATTGTAGGGGTATCGAGATATTAATGTTGTCTAGCACTCAGGATGGAAGGAAACTCTAATGTGGTTTTCTTGTATAATATATAAGTTATATGATAGACAGTCTGGTGCTGGAGGTGCTGTGTGGTGAGGGGCTGCTTGGTAGAGACGTGCGGTGAGTAGCTTGTTGAAGGAGGTAGATGTGCAGGAGCTTCGTTAGAGAAGATGTTGCCTGTTGCTGGCCTCCTGGTTGAATGAGAACCTGCTACCACCTAAAGATTTGTTATAAACTAGTGCAGTTCCAAAGTTCAGAGTTCACATTGCATATTTATTGTAATTTTTGTCAAAAATGATGAATGATTTTTATTTTAATGCATTTCATTTTTGTAATATTACCTACTTATTCTTCATAGGAGAAAGTTTCATGCGAGTACAGATAATAATAATACTGTATCTATACTGTATACTGTACATATTCTGGACGACTGGGGGGAAGGGCACATGTCCAAGTGCCTCTCCTCCTGCGGGCGCTACTGCTCGCACTCAATATATTTTTTGTACAGTTGTACCCCACTTAACGCGGTCAATTGAACCCAGAGGGTCCCGCGTTAAGTGAAATCCGCGTTAAGTGAACAACAGAACATATGGGATTAATTCCAATAGAAACCAGCCCGACCCCCAAACTCCACTTTTTGACGACACATAACTATGTTGTAGTAAAAATTCTATCTTAACTTATGATGGTATGAAAAAACAAGTAATATAGAAGAGGTTAGGTTAGGAAAGATAAAGGTTAACATAGGAAAAATAAAGAATAGGTTAAAAAACGAAAAATTTTGTGGAACACTTACGGTAGTAGAAGAGATGGGTCGGCATACGGGGATGGAGGCTGGTTCCGAGGCAGAGGGCAGATTACTGGCCCTCAGGTGAATCACCATTACTAGGTGAATCAGCATCACTGTCACTTACAGTTGTCAGGGCTTCCCTGACAAATCCCTCAAAGTCAACTTCACTTTCACTACCACTGGCTTGGGCTGGCTGTGGTGGGTTGCGGGCGAAGAACTCGGTTATGCTTTGCTGACGGCTGGCTTTGATGTTGTCATGATACACCGTGATGTACGGCTCCATAGCCTGCACCAGTCGGGTATGGAAGACTTCATAGCGTTCATCGTCATTGTCGCGGGAAAGGACGGACTTAATTTTTTCTGCAAACTCTATGGCACACTTAATATCACTATGACTTAAACTAGGTTCTTCGGAGAATGACGCACCTTCTTCCTCCTCTTCACTGGCGTGTTCTTCTTCCAACATCTCGTCGGCAGTCACTTCAGGATCTTTGATCACCTCCAGGATGTCTTCGTTGGTGGTCTCGGAGAAGCCTTCAGCTGTAATATTGAGCGCAGCTTCTCTGGCAAGGTCCACTGCTACTGCAACAGTCTGAACCTGACCAGTCACAGGTTCACTCCTCCTCTCACCTGGTATGCCATGCAACACATGTCTCCATGCGTGACGAATCGTAGCAATAGTCAGCAGATCCCATGCCTCCACCAAGAAGTCTACAGCTTGTTTAACATTAAACTTCTTCCAAAATTGTTTGACGAGAAGTTCTTGAGTCACCGCCTCTTGTTCCTTGTCCTCGTCGCTTTTGCTCTCGCTGTCGGTGTCACCCAGCTTACGCAACTCATCCTTGGTGTTGGTAGAGTCGTTCAGGAGCTTGAACTTCTTTGCAGAGTACGCAGCTTTCACATTGCAGATCAACTCCTGGTCCATGGGCTGGATTAATGACGTAGTGTTGGGAGGAAGGAAGACCACTTTTACGTTGGGGTGACGATCCATAAGTAGGGGCGAGTGTCCAGGTGCGTTGTCAAGGAGCAACAAAATATTGAATGGAACATTCTGTTGCTCGCAGAATTTCTTCACGTCGGGAACAAAACAGTTGTCAAACCAGAAGAGGGACAGAGAAGAGGACATCCACGCCTTACGTGCGGTTAGCCAGTGGACATTAAGCTTGTTCATGTCCATATTCTTGTAGGCGTGCGGCTTGCGGGCTGTGTGAATCACCGATAATTTTGGTTTACAGGTACCGGAGGCATTGGTGGTAAACAGGACGGTGATGCGTTCCTTCTGCAACTTCCGACCCCTTACCTTGCTGGCAGACTGGACAACGAAGGTCTTGGAAGGTAACTTTTTCCAGAAAAGACCAGATTCGTCCATGTTAAACACCTGGTCGTCACTGTACTGTCCTTCCTCCATAATCTCACGTAAAAACGGAGGAAAATCTCTAGCCGCCACACGGTCAGCACTCGCTTCCTCACCACCAATGTTGATGTTGGTGATCTTGTTCCTCTTCTTAAACCTATGCAGCCAACCAGAGGAAGCATTGAAGGGTTTGGGCTCTGCAATTCCCAGTTTACGTGACACTGCTGCGTATAGCTCACGTGCGTACTCCTGCACTGAGCGCGTGTCCACCGCCATGTTGCGTCGCGCCTGACGCACCAAATAACTCACCAGCAAATTTTCCACTTTTGCCAGCACCCTGTTCTGGCAATACCTGATAGATGAAGCACCTGCAGACTTTGTGATTTTCATGTGCTCTTTGATCTTGGCTGCATCCTTCTTGATCGTACGAATCGTAGATTCGTTGACGCCATGCTGGCGCGCGAGATCAACTTGCCGTCTTCCTTTCTCCAAATCTTGAACAATTTGGTACTTCACCTCGTAGCTTAATGAACGTCGTATCTTCTTTGGCTTAGAGCCGCTGGGTCCAGGTAAGGAAAGGTCTCTCTCTGGGGGCGGTGGTGGTCCGGCGGAAGCCATTTTACGGAACAATGGATGCGCATTTACACTGTACTGCGCAGCTCATTGTCATTCCTAAAAACCCGTTTTAATTCATATTACGCTACATAATATTCAAATCCACCGCGCTTGTAGAATCTCTGGTGCGTGTTTATCCTCGCGATCCCTCAGTAAGCCCCGCCTTTGTGAAGACAGTTATCAATGCGTTGTTTATTCCACTTTCTCCTGGGAAGCTCAATCTTGACTTAGTCGGTGTAAATCAACCCAAGTAATTCGCCAGACCTTTGTCAACTGAGGGTCGTCTTTGAATGAGTAACAGTTAGTTTGTTTGTAATTATGGTCATTGTGTGAGTGGCGATCACTGGCAACTCAGGGGTATATAAACTCGAGCTGGTGAGGAATCAGCGTTCCCTGACGCTGATTACCGTTTATCTCCAGGTATGTTCTGTGTTTCCTAGCCATTCAGTTAATTCAGTCAATTGTAGTGATTATCAGTGTTCACCAGTGTTCATGATTTAACAGTTGAATTGTCATTCACCCAGTGTAGAAGTAATATAACGTAAATGCGTCTGTCGTCTGGACAAGAGAGTTTGTTGGTGTTGTCATGTTTTGGTTCCCTGACGCTGATTCCCGTTTATCTCCAGATCAAGGGTGGGCTTAATTGAAACCCACCGGTCGCTCGGAGCCGGTGGATACCCAGCAGTAGTCAATATAGGAGTGATGGCGCTGATTCGTCATGATTAATCGGCTCTACTCTACCTCGTGGGCCAAGGACCCCAAACCCATCTCGGGTCGGAGTGTAACCGACCACAACAACAGTTGTTAGAGGCGCCAGTGTTATACCCTGGGACAGGCCTTGGAATTATGGTCCACAGTGTGGTTGTATGTGTTTTTTACCAGTGTGTTTTATAAGAAATAAATCAATGAAGACATGTTATGGTTTCACCCTTCTTTACCCTTATCGATCTGATCAATGGAAAACCTAACCCAATGCCTAGTCCGCTCTGCCCGCTACCTAACGAGCTACATGCTGTCCAGAGGGGGTCTGGTGGCAGCGACCCTTAGACATTAAGATTAGAGTTAAGTTATCCCCTTAGATTTAGTGACCCCAGATCTGGCAGTATAACACGGTGTGGCCTTGAGGGATGAAACTGCCGCAGCTAGGTCAAGCATCGTCTCTCCTCCCTCCCTCCCTCCCCAGGGTGGTCACGTCATAATACTTTAAGCCAATTACAGCTAGCAGCAGAGGGGGGTAGGGATGCATGGCCAATCACAGTCCGATACGTCATATGACGTCAGTGATAACGCAACAAAGACACACACTGCGCAACCTTACCGCGCCGCTTGCCCAAGCGGAGGGAGGAGGAGGGAGAGGCAGGCAGGCAGGCGGGTGGCGCGTGGGCAAAATCTAAAAATAGCGTCTCGAGCCGGACACTCACCGCGTATATGATGAAAAATTCCGCGTTAAGTGAAAGTTCAGCTCTGGCGAGGCACCGCGTATATGATAAAACGCGTTAAGTGAAACCGCGTTAGGCGGGGTAATACTGTATTGTATTGTCTGTATATTGTAATGCTTGATGAGATCAATGGTTGACACATAGTATATTTGTTATGCTATTCTACTGTCAGTTGGATGCTAGATCTTGGTCACAAGTACAGTACAGTTCTGCTAAACTCACTCAGTGCAGAAAAAAGATCGGGGGGTATAGAACGGAAGGGGCAGGTGGAGACATGGCTGTTTTGGGAATGCTAAGTTAGATTAGATTAGGATAGGTTAGACTATGTAAGGGTAAATTAACATTAGGATGGCTAATATTAAGATGAAATAAACTGGGGCTAATCTTCAGGTGATCCGTTATGTTGAAATCGTGGTTTTATACAAGAGATGCTCAGCAAAATAATCAAATGTGCTTGTGAGTTATTAAAAGTCAATGAAAAAATTAATCATACAAGGAATTTTTCTTTTATTAAAAATGTGGTCTGCAAATTTTACATACATTTCTTAAAAAAGAAAATAAAAGAAAAACACGTTCTTACCCCATGCAAAGAATGACGCATGAACTTTGTTGCTAAAAAATACATGTTGATGTCAATTCACATCTGAATTTGTATGATGTACTCAAAGACATCAGATCAGATGCTGCAGAACAGTTGTACACTCTACTGTAGGTAAATGTGTTATTCCTGTTGAGAATACAAGATTCTAAGCTGGTGAAATTTTTGGACAACTGTAGCATCAAGAACAATACATCAACCCTCCCCCACCTTTTTTTATATAGTCGTTTGTATCATATATGTGAATGTTAGTTATTAAATCCATTGAAGTATCATCAAACAGTAGTATAAAAGTAAAATAAACATATTGTCCCGGTATGACCACCCAAGAATAAAAGTGAACATATTGTACATGAGAGGATGAAAGAGTAACATGCAAATGAGAATCCAATCAAGGCTGACAGTTATCAATAAACAGCAACCACAAGCAAACTTTTCATGCATTTCTTTGGTTATGTATAATACACTGCACAAAAGATTGTCTGATACAAATGCAAATCTACCCAATAATACTTTTTACTCAATATTCATGTTACAAGTATACCAGTGTATTGATTACTTAATTTGCTGACTCATATAATTTTGATATTGAAATACTGTAGCACAGGTAACATTAATTTGAATGTTATAACAACCAAACTCGAGTATACAGATATCGGCGAGGCAGTTTAAACACTATTCCCTCGGTAACATAAGTTCTTCTAATAGCTTAAGACATTCACGGTATAATAAACAAAATCAATAAAAATTATATTACATGCTACTAATAGGAGAATCTATCTACATAATGAACGTTAGATATTCAAATTTAAAGGCTACAAAATTAAGTACTGTACTGTATACAGTACTTTACTGTACTGTAACTGTACAATTACAATGTGACATAACCTGAACATTAAAAAAAAAATACTTGATTTAATATAAAATTACTTAAATTTCATGTAAATAATGACTACATTACGTTAATGCAGTTCTAAAAATTATTTTGTCTTGTAATTGATAGCAATAAAATAATTGCAATACCGGTAAACAGATAAAAACAAATTTTTTATTAATATAAAACCAATTAATGCATAAGGAACATTTTTAGTACCATTTAATAATCATTAGCTCTAGTATTAAAGCAAGCACTCATATACTGTATACATATACGCATGTATGGCACACTAACATATTACATAGTTAATAAATCACAGTACAGTACCCTGATGACACAGTTTCCTTGGCACATGTTGGCTGTGTGACAGTTATGTAATGTGTGATTAGATTACTATCAAAACTGTCCTCTAACAGCAGTGGTCTCCAATCTGTATGGTGCCGCAGAACCATATTATGGAGCCCACAAGGGTTTGGTAGAAATTTGTAAAATATATGGGATTCTTTGTCAGTGAAAATAATGAATGTAAGTAATAACTTGATACGACTTTAGTAAGAGAGAGAGAGGGAGAGGAACTGCTGTTTGTCTCCAGTCTGTTGTGTACAGGGCCTATAAAAGGTTGGGGACCACTCTCTTAAAAGATACTGTACATCACTCCTCATAGCTCAGTGAACATTGTCATAATCAGATTCTATAATATCTTTGCATAGTACATTAATTAACCTTCGTGGTTCCTGAAGTACTATACTCTAATTGAGTTTCTGTGCAGCCACAACCAACCTAGTGAGTCAGTACAGTACTGTACACATCACTATCCTTCACATTTTACTTTTTATTCTTTTCTGTTCAGTTTTAAAGTCAATTTTTTCTAATTACCAAAATTAAAAATTCTCATTGTAACCAATTAGAAACCGTGTGCATACTTATTGTGTCTTCTTTAATTAATTTTAGATTCGTAATATCTCGGTAGAAACCGTTTCATTTATCTGATAGCCTAATCAATATTCAGAATACCATAAGGAAAATATTTGGAAGATCTTAAGTAAAGTGAATGTCAACTTTGTAAATCAGACCAACTATAAGATTAAAATAATAAAACAATACAGTAATTCATATTGTTTTAATATGTTAACTTTAGTATAAAGTTTGACTGATTTATTAAAGATTAGGTTTTGAGCTTTCAAGTTGGGTATTCAGGACTTGGTTATGTGTTGACTAAATGAGAAGTTAGACTATCATTTCTGCCTTTGAATGATACATTAATTCCAATTAATTCCCACAAATATATACTAATGTGTGTGTCACTGCTTATCATTTATGAATAAGAACAGGTTGTTAAAGTTGTACAGATACTGTATTTACAGATTAATTACTACAGTATAAATTATACAATGAACACAGAACTTGGATAAATACCATAAGATCCAGTAAATGCATTTAAAAATACAGGTTTAGAATAAACTGGTCAACATGGACATCTGCATAGAACATCAACATGTTCTTCATGTAAAAGTTAAAACTAAGAATATTATATTTAAAAAGTTACAAATCTATGGAATGCATACTTTCTCTAGCTTGTAGTGATGTCTGACGGGTTATGGACAAAATATATGACAAACAAATATTATGTGAAGGGTGCTTGCAGACAGCTCTAAATTCTCCATTCAAATTGAATAGGATACCAAATTATTAGAAGGAATTTCTCTACAAAAAATAAATTAGTGACTGAACTTAAAGCTAAATCAGTGTGTTGTCAATTAAGCAATTCCAAGGCAAGAATGAAATCATGTTGTTGCTAAAATAACCTTAAAATTTGTGAAGATATTTATACAAAAAATTGTGGAGTATAAATAGTGAGTGAACAGGTTTAAACCCAGTGTTCCAAGAACCCCAACATTGTTGACTGGGACAAATTTGAAAATAAGGTGAACTTGAAATGGGTCTGGGAGGTGAAAGTGTGCTTAACACACTTGTCCCTAACATCCCTCATATGATTTGGCTACAAACTATCATTTCATGGGTTTTCATCTTTCAATTGTATACAACAGAGGAGCTTAAGCAGACAGCTTTACATGGCTGTTTATGTTGAAAATTAAATGTAAATTTGGTCAGTTCATGACTGTAGTCACCCAACTCTGGGCAAGTTAATCATACTGCAGCACAGTCTAAACTCGTGTAATGCAGCCTACCATGCGATTGTTTCAATTCTTATGTTGATGTCTGGCCTATGGCATTAAGTATGTACTGTACTGTTGTTATTTAGAATGGAATTTCAGGATAAATTTCCTTCAAAAGGAGTTGGGGGGGGGAAGTTTATCCCATCTTAGGAGTTAGGCTTTTCTTTATATACCATAGTATCCTCTTCATGTTTTTTTTTCTGTTTTCTCTTTTAGGATTGAACCATCTTGGGGATCATCAGCCAGCACAATCTGGATTGGATCATTCAACAAGATGCACTCTAGTTATTCATCACTGGTTTCCATCTGAGCTACCCCAACACCTTAAGTGTCCTAAACTCCACTATGGGCTTACTACAAAGGCCATCACCACAGGTAAAGCAACATAAATTTACCAGTAAATTAGTCTGTGCTTATAATACTGCACTGTATATTTTTTACCCCCTTGTTGCCTGAATTGGATGGCCTCTGACTTATTTTTCCCCCCAAATGAACAAACTTGGTGGGCTTGCATACAATCTGGCTGTGGGAGGGTGATTTAAACTCGTCACCAATCATTAATGCCCCTTATGGTAGTCTTTTTTTAATAGATTTGACTTTAGTGATTAGGCTGCTTTAAGATTACTGTAGTTTTGTTTTTATTAAGGGATCTTTGCCTTGGCCTTTTCTTTGACCTGGCTCAGGGATTTTGAGGGTTCCCTGCAAGAGTTTGCTTCAGGTTTAGGTAACTGGAGCCCTTTATGAAATGGGCTCAGGAGATTTGGGCATCCTGGTTGACTTAGGATATATGGTGACTTAGCAGTAGTTGATATTTGCTTTTCATGTTTTGTTTTGTTGGGAATTTACTTACTTGATTATCTTTGATTCTCCTTGGTCAGTAAGTAAATATGAGACCTTGGCAATCCATCCTCGCACGGTGACACTGTTTATGAGAGTAAAAGAAGTTTTTTCCAAAAGTAGTTATGGTTCTGGAGCGAGGGTTCCCAAAATTCTTTTTGCCAGATCAAGGGAGAAATTCAGTTGGAATCTGGCTCCTACATTCCTCCTGTATCTCTGACTAGTTGCATAAGTCAGGAGTCTGGTTGTATCATTATGAGCAAGGTGGGTAGTCCCATTTTCTTTGTTTAGGGATGACACCCTAACATGTATTAATTTAATGTGTAATTAAAAGTCCCAAGGTTCTTTCTCAGTAAAGATAATATATTAGGTTGATTTAGTATTTACCAGGTACCTTCCAGTTACATTATTCTAAATGGAGCTAAACTCCAGGAGGAGGAAGAGGGTAAGTAGAGATGGGGCAGGCCAGACAGGCTAGACTTCATGCACATGGCAACCTGTCTCATGGTAGGATTCTGGCTGCCTTGAAAGGTTTGTAAGGGCTCTCAAGGATGGTTCTTCCTCCTCTTTCAGATACAGACCGAGAGGAACTTCATCAAGGTTATGTTACATTGGTATATAATAGTGAATTGATCCATACTTTCGTTTGACAATTATTTGAAGTTACATTTAGAATGAATAAGATTCAGAGGGTGAATATATTCACCATACTCTTGGCATCTTGGGAGGCCTTGGGTACTAACTACACTTGTCCACTGAGCTAAGAAAAATCAGGGATCTTCCTTCGAGTTATTCTTTTGGGAGCTGGAACTTGCCAACTCCTAGTTTTACATATATTCTGTTCCTAAAGAGGATTATACAGGAGCAGATGTGTTTTCAGGGTTCTAGAACAGATTAGGATCAGCTTATCTTTCTTTCTTTCTCACTTTCTTATTTGAGGATTTTATGCTAGTTGCTTCCTACCATGATTTAGCTTTTTCCATAAAGTGTTCTGTAGATTTCTGACTTTTAGTCATAAAAAAGATTAAGTATAATTTTCTTGCTCATGTCCTTATGGGTTCCATGTATAGTATAGGTATTTTACTGGAGCTGAGCCTGGAGCTTCCGGGATTTCAGGGTTTGGAAAATTAAGCAAATTTAGCCTTATATCCCATGGAAGCATGGCCTCAAGGGGTGTGTGTTTTCACTGGCTTTTCTGAGGGCTGTATTTTTTTAGCCGATACTTGGACTGCTTGACCATGTGGAGCTGAAGGTATATTTCCCCATTTTACCTTTCTTTAGGAGAAATTCATCAACAGGGTAAATTTTGCACCATTACTTCAAGCTCTTCGTGCCTTCCATCTCCAGCAGGCTTGAGATACTTGACTCAAGTCGGACATCAACCTAAATGACAAATTGATCCAGTCATACAATTTTAAAGCAGTCTAGATCAGGTAACTCAGATTCTCCCCCTTCTCCTTATGGGTGTTGATGAGGTCAGTGGGAACTAGGGGACTGAACTGTGAAATGCTGGTGTAGCTATCATATGAGGCTCAAGAAGTACACTAAGTATAATGGCAAAGACACCTAGCATTAACCTGTAAATGGTAACCTTTGCCTCCCATATCCCTTCATGTTCTAAAAACATTGGGTATTTAATCTATAGACTTTCTAACTATACTTGAGTCACCTCATCTGACTTAACATATATGATCTTTAGTTGTTTCCTTATTATTTCTGTTGAGGATATGGTGGATATGTTTAGGAAATTCTATTTACCTCTGGCAGTTTTTGAAACCTTGAAGGCAGCAAGGCATCAGTAATATAAATAGATTTCATCCCATTATCCTTGAATCCACTAACACATACCTAAGGATAATTATCAATACATAAAGACTCAGAAAGCCGAGAAGCCATCTTGACTTACATGTGTGCACCAAAGTGAATATGCATCGTGCACAATTAAAATGTTTTTATCCATTTTAAACATTTGGTGTTTAAAATCAAAGAAAATAAAAACTAAAACAATGCTGTTTTCATAAAAAATTAATATGTACAGAAATAACACTGTCATTGTGTAACATAAAAAAAAGGCCCAAACTAAAAGGATAAACCATTCAGAGAAAGTCATCCTTGGACTAAATACAAGCTGTAGTTAGAATAAATGTATATTTCGAGTTCACATACATATCAGAGCACTGCTCTAATCTAAAAACAACTTGAGCATTTTTTAGGCATTCATTCATACTTAAAACTAAACAATAATGAGCAGCAGCAGAACCATTATACTTTATATACAAGATAAAGAAGTAATGCAAAAAAATTTCTATGGTTATTAAACTAACATCTGCAAATTTATACAGCTGAGGACAGACCACAGCTCAATTTATCATTAAAATTAAATCTGAGGAAGACCCATCTGTCTTGGTGAGAAGATATCATGATTTATTTATTTTTTATTTCCTCTTATTGTCTTACAGTAAAACCCCTCAAGTTCACATACCATATAATGGCCTATCTCAATTACTGACACATATGATCCATTCTGTGCACATTTTTCCAATAAAATTGAGAAACAAATTTTTTTCTATAGGTCAATTTCATATCTCTAATTTTGATATATATATATATATATATATATATATACTGTAGAAATGTTTTTGTGAAGTACAATTATGCCATTTTTATTTTCAGTGTGATGGAATATTAACTGATAAGGTGTTTACTGGTGAATGGTGTCACCAGTATACTTTTTCTCCCAATTCTTAATGATATTCACCTCGGAAAGATACCAAGGCTAGTGTCTTAAAGGGGAATACTTGAGAGAAAAGTATGCTTTTCTTCCAAATCTTGACGATTTTTACCTCAAAGACATCAAGGCTATAGCTTTGGTACACTTTTTCTCTCAAATATTCACTTCAGAAAGTTACCAAGGCTAGTGTCTTTAAAGTGAATATTTGAATGAAAAGTACACCAAGGCTATATAGTATATAGCCTTGGTGTCTTTCAGAGGTAAGGAATTGGGAGAAAAAGTATATCAAGGTATTTTTGTTATCTTTTTCTTGTTTTCAGTGTTTCATATACTACGTTGTTTCTCCAAAAGCAGAAATTGTCAGAGATAAAGCAAGATTTTGCCAAATTTTATCAAAAGTTACCCTATATGGATATCCACTAGGTGAAAAAATAACAAATGTAGATTAGACTATTTTAACCTATCATATGTTTTATGTGCACTCCTGGTCCCTTGGTCATTCCATAGTGTTTTGTATTACATAATTTGAGTTTAAAGTCCCTGGAGCTCTATGTACAGTATGTGTTGTATGGTTAAGAGAAATAGTTGTGCAACACTTCTCCGCCTATTCACTCTGACAATGACCATGGAATCAACAATATGCAGCGATGTATTTACAGTGCTCTAGTTACCCTTAAAATTGGTCGATGAGTACAGTGGAGGAGAGGTTCTACCTCATACCAGCAATGGAACTATAAAATACAGGGAGTGTGTTGTCACACAACTACTGCCCATGACTGTACATACCTGATATTTTTGGTTCAGTCCCAGTACCCATTAATCCACTATAAAATCAACAGCTCACAAAAAATATTAGATTTGCCAACCTGTCATTCCTTGAGGTATCGTATACAAACTTGAGGGATCTTACTGTACCGCCAACAGATTCTGGCACAAGTGAGCACCGATGAGGGCAAATATACCAAAGACTGCACTTCACACACAGCTTCACTGCCCACATCACAAATTCTGAAATATGTACACATTCATTTTGTTCTTAAAGATAAGAACAAAATATATCTTGGACATCTTGCAACACAATAGTAACCATTTAATACAAAAAAGTTCACCCAGTTATGAGTGTTTAAATGTCAAGATAAAATACAGAATGAAAGAGCTTTGACTGCCATCCAATCCATAACAGTATTTTCTCTCCAGTTGTGTATGCACTATTTAAAATGCTAAATATTTAGGAACTGAAACTGTTAAGCAAATTACAAATCTGTTTTATGCTTCATGTGTAACATGTACAAACACCAGCAACCTACAGTACAGTATGTGATTGCAGCAATGAGGGTATGAAAAATGGCAGATTCCTAATGTGCCATGCTTACTAGTGATTAGACTACTGTAATGACTTTTTCAGCTATCAGAACCATATGAAGAAAATATGAAAGACATTTCCCCTTGTATAAAAGCAGTCTTCAGAGAAAATACTTCTCTATAATCTATTTAATAATCTCTAGTACTACAGGTGTAGCAGAATGTATTTGGTGACTGGACCATGGATGACCTACAACCTTTAAGTTTTAAACTCTATGGTTAATGCATCGTTGTGAGTTGATCTTTCTCCTGTACTGATGACATTTCCTCATCAGGGTGGTAACACGGTGCCCGGCAGAAACAACGGTTCAATGTCTTTAGCACCGTTTTTCTATATGCGAACACTGCGAAGATGGCTAATGACTCAATTAACACATATCGCCACAAACTGAAACAAAAATATTAATCTTGATGAGCAACTTTGGTGCACCAATGAGAGAGAATAGTATAGGTTTCATACATAACAGAATTAATTGGAAGTCAATTTAAAAGTAATGATAATGGAGTTTGGGAAAAGTTTATTAATAAGTTTCAAAAGTAGAGTAGCAATGATTGATCACTAGCTAAGTAAGCTGCAAAAGATGGGAGAAAGAATCTCAAGCTAGTCAGGTGTTCATGTGGTCAACTCACACAGCCAAAACAAAAATACAATTGCTACCTTTGAAATTGGCATACACTGTATAACATGGCTGCAGAGACAAAAAAAATGCAATGAAGATGGAATGAAAGATGAAGGCTCAGAAAGTTCTGAATTACAAATTACTCAGTATTTAAGATAGAGAATGAGGCAAATGTTTAACTTATCTGGTGATTTTTTCCCGAGGCAAATGTTTTATCATATGATAATGTACCAGTACTCTTGTCTGTAACAGAAGATTAGCAAATATGTAGCACCACTATGATAGATTGTCTTTAGAATGAGTGATGCAGGACACAGGACTAGAGTGCAATTCTGGCAATCATGTTTGCCTCTCCCTACCATTTCAGCTTCTGATTATTTTGGATTAACCGATGTAATTAAAATGTCTCAGATTCTCCTGCAAAAGAATCTACCCTGTAAGTTTGAAATAACTTACCCTTAAAATTCTCAAGACATTGATTGACTTGCATATGGAGGTAAGAAAAAATAGTAGACTAAGTAATGGGTAAATTTGCAAAAGTTTGTCATTATTGCATCATATAAAGAAGGGTTTTCGGGAGTTAATTTTGTGAAAAAGGAAGAGGCTGGTCTATAACGTGCAGAAAAAAGAATAGAGGCAAATAGTGCACTTTTTGATTCCCAGAACAAAATATAATCCATACTCACTCAACAAGGCGTATTTCTAGTATATCATCAGGAACATCAATAACTGTGTGGCCAATCATGATGATGAACAGCTTCCATCCTTGTTTCAAACTGTTGGCAGAGATTCAATTTCAATTTAGAAATTATATTACTGTAAGAACCTATTGAAATATTTGAAAATCATGGCAAAGCAATTTATAACCTAACTACACCAGACAAGAGGAACCATGTCATTCTTCCAGTAACCAGACTAACCCTGACAGAAGTGATTCTAGCAAGGCTCTTTGGGAAAAAGAGCCAAGATTCAAGGTAGAAGGTTAACTGGATCATGCTAAGTAACCAGTACTTCTCCATTTGTTTCAGTTACAAGAAGGCGACAACAAACCAAATTTGGTTTTGCCCCCTACTGCATTTTATACTACACATGTCCTTCTATTTCTGTTGTGCACTTATCATACAGTCAAACTTTCCTCCAAGTAAAATCATTTCTGAAAAGGAACACATCCCTACACTAATTCATGGTGCACAATTCTATTCATGGAGCTAAATTAGGAACTGGTGGGATAACCCAAACATCACCTATTTAACTCACGAGTTTGGTTCACAGGTCTGCACATACGAACAGCTTTATTAACCATTGTTCCCTCTTCTACATTATATAATAAAAACTGAGTTCCCTTCAGGGAGATGATGAAAATGTTTAAGGTTTGGGTTTATGGACTCATTTATCCACTAGCCTGATTTGCTCCCCAAACAGTAATTACCCAGAGTTAGACTTAAACACTGAGGGCAAGGCTCCAATCCTATTAACCTGGACCCATCCCCAGAAAAAATTATTACCCTCCAGATGTTCAATGACATTTTATGGGTGACTGTTCACATTGCAATATGAAAACTAGTATTGATTTGAAGGATCATAAGGTAAACTTTAAATCTGTAATAAGTACATGATAATTGCACACTTAATTTCAAGCGAACATGGCCATTCATGTGAATTATAGTTTCATAAGAGGATATTCATAATGTGTGTACAGTATATCACAGCATAAGTTCTTCTCCAGGGGGGGTTTGTGTCTGAAGCTTGTGGACTCTGTTAAAGTGATTGGACAGCATTAAAAGTAATTATGCGGATTCATCAGTTACCTCTAATGATTACTATGAGGTATAGGTATATTATTTTACCTTAGGTTAGGTATACCAAGAGTACAATTTGTTTAAATTTACTTACTGATAGATAAGCTTGTGTGGGAGTGATGGTTTCAATATACAGTGTAATATCCAAAGATAGTAAGCAGGATAATGAAAGTGTTTTTCATTAACCCTCTGGTACTCTTGGCCATGGTCGGAAATCTCACCCATTTCACCCATAACATTTTAGTTCTCTTGGTGTAATTCCAGATTATTTTCTTTAAATCAACACTGCACTGCATTATATATTGTCAATATGTAAAATAAATTTCAAAATGACCAATAATTTGCTTGGAAACACAGAAAAAAGCATTTAGTTAAAGAGTCTCAAGCAAAATGTTACCTCCACTGAAAACAGAGAGAGACTGTCTGGTGTGTTAACAGGCTGGATGGCATGCCAGAAACTAGTTTCTTTACCTTCAATTATGTTCAATAATTGTTAAAATGACTAAAAAAGTTAATATTAAACTTTTAAAATTATTGAATAGTATAAACTTCTTGATATTTACTAAAATAGTAAGGAATTTAAGCCCTAAAACCAATTACTGTATTGGCGGACTAATACTACAGCTGGTGGACCGCCAAATGCAAGCAAAAACATGTTGAAGTCGGTTCTTAAAAAACTCGTTAATCGAGGGATTGCTCGTTAACCGAAGTTAAGAATCTTATGGAAGGTAAATCGTTAACCAAAATCTCGTTAACCGAGGCGCTTGTTAACCGATGGATCACTGTACATCTGTTGTGATCTCTGTGGTGTTCTGAAGGCATGTTGAGTTACATTTTAGCAAAGAAGACTTGGGGTGCCAGTTAGATGCATTCACACTTTCAGTTAGGAGAATATTATGATAGGTTCAAACCTTTGAAGGATCTGGGCACATAATTGCAACCATAAAATGAACTGCTAGATATTTAAATTCTTATAATTTTTCTATCTCATACTTACCTTTGCCTCAAGCACTTGATGCAGTAATCATCATCGTTTTCTGACTATTTTTCATGCTTGCGTGGGTTAGCGTGATAATGTATCAATGATTTTATTTGCTCTTGCATTTCTCAAATTCTATGAGTAAGGCATTCTTCTGTAATACTTTAACACTTTACTTGCAATTTAAATTATAACAATATCTTACCTCAAAGTAGCTTCACAACGTGGGAGGCCATTTCCAAACTTTGGATATTTGCAGGTATTTGAAGTTGCCAATGCAATGAAGATGAAATTAACTATCATCAGTAATGTCTCCACTAACTGCAGTATCATGTTTATATCCGCTGAAAATAAAAACATCATTAGAAAAAGAATACAGTATTTATTGGATGGATCTATAAATTAGGGAGCAAAATTTTAAAGAAAAGTAAAAACTAGAGTGACAGGATAATATGTGTACTCCAAGTATGAAATATAATGTTCATTCCAAATATATTTCATATATAAAATTCAATGACTTATAAGTGAATCAGAAAAACAAATATAATCAGTAGTGATGACCAGATACTGTTGTATGATACAAGAGTTTTCTAAGACAATTTATGAATGTTGTAGTTTTTCATTTCCTAGCCTTTCATGTTCCTATTCAGATACAGTACTTTCATTTTTCCCCTCATATGTAAAAAAGTAATGATACTTACATCTCCTCTTGTTTTACATTTATATAGCTTTTTGTCTTGCAAACACAGCAAGCTCCTTTAATTGATACAGAGAGGCTCAGCATAGGCATATAAAATTTTGTATAAGTTACAACTTACTTTTTAATTTACAAACACCAGGCTTGTCTTCCATGAGACTTGTATCATGTTCCTTCCCAGTTGCATAAGGTGTGACAAGCACAACAGTTGTTAGCAAAGCTCCAACCACCCATGTGTACACAGAGTATAGAAGGAAGCGTTTTCTGGAGCCAACATCCTGACGGTTCCTGGGAAAAAAAATTTACTCAACATCAGAAGTAGAAATCATAGGATATATTTGTAAGGATGTCAACAAAAGTTAAGAATACAGTACAATGGGATCTCAAGTTTAGCGAATTTTAGATTCACAACTCATATGTTTCGCGTCACTTTTAAAATTTCCAGCCTCTCAAGAATTGCAATTTTCATCACCAGCTTTGCAAATCATTGTTGAGTGGACAGCGCGCATTGTCACGGTCCTTTATTATCCGTCAACCCGCCGAGTGGTTTTTTGTTTACGGCGTAACGGCAGTTAGTTTGAATGAGCGAGCGGTGCAGTGACCTTGGATTATATAACCCATTGTGCTTACGTTTCGCGAAATTCTTGTTTAACTATTAACGATTCTTGTGTATTAACATGAGTGAGGTGCGTAATGTATCGGGAGTGGTTCTGGTGGTAATGATGGCCGTAGAGGTCAACAAGGAAAGCCACAAGCCAAGCGTGACCACCATATGGGAGTCAAGAAGAGGAAATACATCCCTTGAAATGAAACGAGAGATGCTTGAAATGATCAAAAGTGGTGCTCGTACCTGTGAAATTATGTGTAGGTTCAACTGCCCCGAATCAACCATACGTTCCCTTAAGCATAACAAGGAAACCTTAACTGCTTCTGTGAATGTATTCTCAAGATTTTCTAGTAACAGGACGTTCTCCAATACTTCACAGCGAAACCTACTGCTTGTTATCACAGAACATTTCCTTCACAAGTGGGTGGAAAGAAGAAACCTTGAGCAAGGCGACCTGTCTGGGCCACAGATAAGGCAACAGGAACATGCTTACGCTGCAGTTGCACAGACGAAACGTGTTAACTCTCCACCACCGTTCAATGCTTCTGTTGGTTGGTTGGCTCTCTTTAAGAAGCATTATGAAGTCAAGTTTGCCCATTACCATGGGTAGATTGCATCAGCTGATGTCATAGCAGCAGAAAAATATCCACCTGTCTTTCAAGCTGTTGTGAAAGAGGGTGGTTATTGCCGAGACCAGATCTCCAATTGTGACGAAACTGGCATTTTCTAGAAGCGCTCACCTAAGACCACTTTTATTGCCAAGGATGAAAAGCAGGCAAGAGGTGTAAAGACTTCAAAGTGCAGGATTACAGTTTTATTCACAGCTAATGCAAGTGGAGATTTCTTCATGAAACCCATAGTTGTTAACCGTGCTGCCCGTCTTAGAGCCTACCGTCATGCCAATATGTCGCAGCTCAATGTTTATTGGACTTCTAATAAGAAAGCTTGGGTTAGGTCTTTATGCATTCATTGGTTTGACAAGCACTTTGTTTCTGATGCCCAAGAGGACTGCCGGAGGAAGAACATTAACTTCAAAGTGATCCTGATGATGGATAATGCTCCTGGACACACTTAAGTTTCTAATTGGATGCCTAATGTACAAGTTACCTTCCTTCCTCCTAACACCACATCGCTTTTGCAGCCACTTGACCACGAATTCATCAGTAATGTTAAACTTTTCTACTAATCAGTCACTCTATAAATACTTTCATTAGCAGAGACTCATTAGTAGTTACAACAAATCGAGGCAAAACTTGGACAGTGACCAGGCTCTACCAGTTAACCAGGAGGAGGGGGAGATGGTAAACGACCTGACTCCTAGCACCTCACCACCCCGCAACCGTGAAGTGTTATCAGTTTGTGAATTTTGGAAGAAATATAATATAAAAATGCAGTGAACAGAATTGTTGAGGCATGGCATAAGATTAATGTTGCAACAGTGCTACACACATGGAAGCCTTTGTTCGCTAACTCCGAGATAAGTAGGGCAGAACAGACCGTGGCAAGCGGGGAGAGGCAGTCTGTGGCAGCAACACTAATGGACACAGTGGAGGCAGCGCGCTCAATCCCAGCACCGGGATTTTCAGATGTTCAGGTTGAAGATTTACAAGAAATCGTTGGTCAACATCAGCAGCAACCAACAATTGAAGATGTGATGATGAAGAAGAACAGCAAGCAACACAAGAGGATGATGTTAAGCCTGGTGAATATACAACACGCCAGCTGACCGAGTTGCTCACAAACATCGCACATCTCTGTGAACAGCTAGAAGAATATGATACCAGGCCTCATCCTCAGAACCTTATGTGCTCTGCCTTTGACAAGGGTATGGAGAAATGTACGGCCTTGTACATGTCCCGTGTTAATGCTCGTCAGCAGGCTCTAATTACTCGGTACCTGCGCTAGGCCCAGCCTGTTAATGCCTTGGCAAAAATCGCTTTTGGAGATGATGATGATATTGAAGTACTGTATTGGGTGACTTACTGGTGGAAGAGCTGCCTCAAGACTTGAGGGACTTGATGCTGAGGTTAGAGGTGGTGTTGAGGAGGGAGCAGGGAGGAAGCAGTAACCAGCCCTCCCTGCCTCAGAACCCATCAACCAGCCCCGTCAAGCATTTCACCCATTCCATCAAGGTAAGTTATTCTACAGTACGAGTATAAATAAATATTGTTACCAACAATATAATATGTATGAATACATTACTGTAAAGTCATTTTCTTGGTGGATTGTAGATCATTATAGGGGGGTTTGGGTGACACTGCAGAACTGATTTTGCTTATTTTTATGTATTTCAATGTCACTTGTTTTGGGATTTTAACTTTCGCGTAGCTAAAACCAGTACCAATTAGTTGCGAAACATGAGATCCTACTGTATTGTATACCGACACAAAAAACAATACATCACAGCTGGTAACCTACAAACATAGTGACAAGTTTGACCGAATGATGATGGATAGACTCGCAATGAACAAGTTGCCGGTTCTGAGTAAAGACAAGAAATACACTGCCATGTTCGTAGAGTGATATGGTATATAGTTATTTGTAATAATAGTCGAGATAAGTTTATTTCTAGAAGCAGGGGTGCCATTTGCAAGGACGTCACCACCATCTCCGCAGACGGAGTTCTCCAACAAACTCACCGCTGCAATCGGAGGTAGTACAAAGGATGGCCTCTTCACACCCCAAAATGCCATATTTAGGTAGGTTTAATTTTTTTTTATGGTGTAACTCATGGACATTTCGTAAGTGAAGATATGTGCCGTGAAAAGCAGCTTGTGGACATAAAAAACTCCCATGTTCACACCAGCTCAGCTGTCATGTATTCTTACCTGGTTGACTTTCTCTTTTTTTTCGAGTGTATTTACAGAGTTATCAGTACTAAATGGAGATACAAGTCAATTTAGAAGTAATGACATTGTCTGGACTTTGTTTTGAGAAGGCATTGGGATATATCATCATTTATATTAATTAAAGGACAAAATTTTACTTTAACTACCATAAGTATTTGGATGCTTAGATTCGAGATAGGCTATACTGGGTAAATTTAAGTTTTGGTCATCCCTGAACTTAAACATGCAAACTATTTTTTTTTTCTGATGGCGTGCGATGTGTTATGAACGATTTTGACCTTCATTTCTATCGGAAATCACTAGTTTTGAGTTACTACCGCCCCCCCCCCTTTACCGGTGTATGTTAAGCTAATCTTATAACTTATAATACCCTAACCTAACCTAACATATGACCTTTATTTTCTTATGCGATTGAAAAATGTTTTGTGACAGAAATCCCGTAGAGATAATTTGTCTTTTTGTTTAAAGTACTTAATCCCATAGTTAGAATCTTAAGGTTCCCCAGATGACCAAAACCAAATTAATACCAATATTGTTTGTAATGTTTATACTATGAAATTTGTAACAGGGGCAGCTAATATCCATTGTATTAATTAATGAGCTCAGTAATATTTATATGTGTATTCAATATAGTATTACTGCATTGCACAGTATAGCACAATTAATTATCTAATAATATTTATTTACAGAGCTAATCAGCCAAGAAGGTTGGACAACTACTTCCAGGATTCATCAAGGCTGATGAAAGAAATTTACCAAAAGTAGATGTCTTTATGACGGTAAAGTATTATCAAGAACTCCGCCATCCAGCTATGAAGCATGTTAAATTACGTCCGTCATCTGATCATCTCAAGCCCATCCCCTGGCCATGGTCGTCCCTAGTCCTTCCACAACATTAAATACAGACATCAGTGACGAAAACTTAAATTTTCCAGACATGAAATAGAGAACAGTGGTGAAAACTTCCATGTTGGAGTTATCGGTCTTGTGCATTATTTTGGCACCCAGCAAGTAAATACACACGATGATACTTGAGCAGTTATTTATTTTAACCTAAAAATAAGGTATGCCTGTGTATATCAACATTGTATATGGCCACTTTTCCTGTATTTCTGCTGGTAACAATACATACACCACAGCTGGCTGCCTCCAGGCTCCTGCTTGGCAACTCGAGCCAACCTGTTATGTCTACAACCAATCACAGAGCTTTTCATAGTCAAGTGACTTTTTAGCTACTTTAACACTTATTTTTTACTCTTTTTGGCCCAATTTATTTAAAAATATCATTACCATAGTGAATTTAAGCATTTTCTTTACCCATTGACCTGCCATCTCATGATAAAATTCCGACCAACAACTCGTCCATTGGTCATGATGGCAAATCAGAAAAGTTATTACATAATGAACTGTCTTTATGAATGATACCATGTACTCAAATATATTATCTGAAACTGGAACACAGATCTTGTAATAGCTGGAACTTGTCAACGAGCACCATTATCACATATGACAATACTTACTTTAATGTTCTCCAAATGTCAAAGCAGATTACATTGAACCACAGCATGACTCCACAGAAGAAAAAGTACTTCACAGCACCTTAAAAGAGAAATATATACAGTATGTAAAAATTACTGTTCAATATGTGATAAAAAGTGAATTGCTTAGACAAAGAGAAGGGCAGTTCCTTGTGGGTAACATTCCTTCCCTCACCACATACAGTCTTGCAGGTTGTAAAAGCAACAAAGATTCTCATATCTCATTAAATTCCAGAATATCATAATTACAACTTTCCTGAACTTTGGAATTAAAAAGCTATCATTTTAAGGTTTGACCCCTTTGACTCCTCTCCCCTAAAAAAAAAAAAAAAAAAGCTTGATTCAAACTGCATTATATTTTAATACTGTACTGTAATATGATGCCTTTATACCCTTTTGCCAACTGCACTTACTATCATGTGAAACTTTAAAAAGACTTTATCATAAGATACTGGAAATACATGAATATGGATTATGATGACAAATGCAGTATTTAGAAATATCACATTGTTAGTGCCTCAAGTCATTAAGTATTGATTTATCATTCTGAAAAGTGTGAGTGGGTCCCACAGGCATGACAGCCCATTAAGGACTGTGGATGCAGTATGTTGCATACTAAGCCTTTTGTACACAAAAAGTCAGCATGGCATCGAGTCTGAAGTTTTAACTTACCTAAAGATACACAAGACACAAAGCTGATATCCAAGGAGAGAACTGACCCAGGCAGGAGACAGATGTTGTATAGCAGAAGAGATATCAAGAAGCAGATCATGTACTGTCCCTAAGGAAGAAACATTTTGTCAGTCTCCTAAACTTTGTATTCATAGCCTGGATCACAGATTACTGAATGGTCATCATTTACACAAATTATTCCTTACACAAGGTAATTAGCCTAATTTTGACTGACCTACTGTACTATAAATAATATGTTATACTATTTCTTTGATGTAAACACTCATGCTGAATGAGGATAGACATTTTGAATAATATAAAATTTTTAAGAAAAAGTAAGAAGCTATAAGGTTTTGAGTCAATAACTCCAGAATAATAATAAAAAAAAAGCATGAAAACTTGCAGAAAGTAAGTTATTAGTAATATAAAATATAACCTACCTGTAAAGACCTGAGATCCCGGACAAAGAAGAAGGCAAGAAGTGTCAAAAAGAGAAGTATGTGAGCCAAACCAACACCTGTCCAGTATAGCCCTGCCTCTGGCTGTTTCTTCTCCAGGCAAACATATACTTTTGTCCGATGAACCTCACATTCCTCAGGATTGTTGTTATCAAAAAACTGTAACGATACCAAGAAAAAATCACAAGTTACATACGGTAGCTGTTTACAAAACTTACGAATAAAGGTTACACTGAATACGACATTAAAGTAACTTTTTGAGATGGATATAATCCAAGTTGGATCAAAGGCCTTGTCAAATTTACCTAGGCTCCATTTTCATACTTCTTGATGTGGAACAAGTATCACTAAATGACTACCGGTATCGTTTAATAAAAATATACATTCAGTAATTTCTTTATTTTAACTATGTTGAATTTGTAATCCCAGACAAGTGTCAGTTAACACAAATACGTCCTTACCTTTGAAACACAATATTTTGACTGTGGAACAGGATCTAGCTGGATGTAATGTGGCATATAGGCTTCTCCAGACTTACTAAAAAATATTTCCTTTTGATAAAAAGGTACTGGATCATTTAGCTTGCACCTGAAGAAGAGTAAGATATCTTGTGAGTGCCGGGTAATAGTGTATAACCTCAAACATGTTCAGTCGCAGTCAAGAGTAATCATCCACTACTCTACTACCATAGCCATGAGCTCAATGTCTTTCGTCACAAGAGGATATGTGAGTAAGCTATTGGCAGGCAATGTGCCAGTACAGTACAGTATTTAACTAACCTACTGGTAGACTTCCTCATTATATTGTCTTGTGGTTTATTCACTCCTCAAACCCTATAATAAATATACTTTCCAACATGCAAGTTTCACGTTCTCCCTCCCTTTTGCAACACTGTGTTTACGAGTACTATAGATGGTGTTTCTTGCATGTACAATACAATACTCATTCTCTGTCTATAATACATCACCATTTCACTTCACAGTTTAATACTGTCTCCTACAACATGTTCTTTTTGAAAATAGTGTAATTAATGATGAGTTTGTCAAAATCTGTATTTTCTGTCATACACAACTTTTCTTTTATTTTAAATTATACTGTATGTGCAGGTCTACAAATTCGTTAAACTGTATTCTGCTATATACTGTACAGTATAATATATAATTATGATCATGAATTACCTTCACGTTCTGACTGCTACATTTATCCATGCTATTCTAATGAGCTCCCCCTTCATATCTTAACCCTTTCACTACAGGGATGCCATTTTTAATATTTTTTATGTCTTTTGCCATATGATTTTATTTAGCTCACAGGGGACACAAGGAGTAAATACATTCTTATAGATTGTTCTAGAGAGACATCCCTCATGGTACACTTCTCCTTGCTGCTGAACTGAAACATCCCTTCACATCAAGAGTACATTTCTCAAAATGGCTTGCCTTGTTGGATTTTAAACCTCCAGGGAGTGCTGTATACAGTAAAATATACAGTACTGTACTATAGTACTGTATAAAAGAATGTACTGCCAGAGAATATATAAAATAATAATTAAAAGCATCTTCAGAAAATAAGGTTACCAGTAAGTGTTGTATAAAATTACATTTAGATGGTTGCAACAAATTACAGAACCACAACTCTGAAGTCACATTCGTATTGCTCGGGGAATAAGAGGTGATTCATGGCACGCGAAAGACTATCCAACATTCAAATTGAGAACTGGTTACACAGCCTTCAAGATGGACAATTGCCTAAAAAAGCTGCCCCCCAGATATTAATTTTTGGTAAAAGGTCTCAAATAGCATCCTTACAGTGCACCAGTTAATAGTAAAGTGACCCCTTGGAGCATGACTCAATAAACATTATTTAAACCCCATTGTACAGCCAACACACATGTCTAAGCCCTCACCATTATGTAGATCAACATCCATGGACTCCTCCAAGAAGTCTTAATTTTGGCTGCTGTATTGATCACTACAGGTATTAAGCTAATACACTGTGGTGAATGATACCATAAGTTTCTGATGCACTAAGTTAAGTGTGGTAATTGTTTTTGTTTTTTTCTGTAGCATTAAATGGTGATATGAACATACCATCAGTAGGTGGTAAGTGATAATTTATCTCCCTTTAATATTAAAATACATTCCATTAAATTTGCTTGAAACAGTGTCTAGTGTATTACATGTATAAAATGACCCAAGTCTGCTCAGTCAATTAGCAAAAGCTAGTCTTTAAGAGCAGGCCTGGGTAAAGCCTAAAAATAACAGAAAAGTGAATCATAATTTTCCACACCCCTTCAAATGCATATTCCAAAACTGCCCTACACACACACACAACAAACTACTGTACATTTTCCTATCAAGGTTACAGCATATCAATAATAACCAGACAACATTATAAAAATATCTTACTTTGGAAACCCCTTGTAATAAAAGTGAGCATAGGTTTCTCCAGACAAAAATGGCTTCCATGTCCAGCTCTCAGGAGGGTTTGAGCAGTTGTTGAAGACTGTGTGAACTGTGTTCTGAGGACAACACAATGGTATCTCCTTGCCTGTTGGTTCATCTGTCAATATTTAAGTGTTAATATAGTTGTTTTATTAAACAGCATGTTAACCTACTACTAATGGATGAATTTTGTAAACATAGGAAATAAACTACCTGTACTATTTCATGGAATGAATAGTGCATAAAAGTCTTTTCTTACTTTGGTGCAGCAGTCAGACAAGTAGTGATCTAGTTCCTAGCATTCAGCAGTAAGTATACTTGTCCACCAAAGGGTTTTATTCATACACACTATTGTTAAGTAAAGGAAGAGGGAACCCAATCCTTCACTACAGTCAAGAGTTGAATCTATGACCAATTTCTAAGTGAATGTTAACAGCTGTGATCTCACCTTTAAAAGTACAGTATTACGTTTAAAAATATCTTTCCAGATTATTTTTAACTTTAAGGCAATACTGAAGCAGTACCAATTAAAAAGAGAAATATTCAAGCATAAAACTGTGTGTATTGTGTGTGTACTGTATAGTTGTGAACAAGAGACTTAATCTGAAGGATAACTAGAAGATGGAAGGGGAATATTAAAAGATTTTGAAATATTACCAAAACACACAATACCTAAATGCAGTACAGTACTGCATTTGTAATCAAATCAAAGGGAGGATAATAATATTGCAGAATTGTGTTTTGGGGATAAAATGAGCTTTTGTGAAAAATTCTGTTTCAACACAACCACTATGGCTATGTTATTTAAGCTCACAGGAAGTGTTCAGGTTTACTGTATAGTCCCACACTGTACTGTACTGTATTTTGCTTACCAATTGGAGGCTCACTGTGTGTTAGAAAAGTGGAATTAATTTTGGTGCTGTGGTGTATGATGATTGTTCCCATATAGCGTTAGTTGTAGCTGCCACCCTTACCTAGAGATGGATCAGCCATGTGACTGTCTGAATGTAGTGATGGGGCTGCAGGGATGGCAACATTATATTCATACTTGTAATCACCATAGGTGTAGTCATAGTTGTAAGGGTCCTCAAACGTATCAGCCCTCGCAACTGCTCCCAAGACACCAACAGCTACACACAAACACAAGTTGATACACCTCAATCTCTTCATGGTTCTTTGTGATATTTTTCTATACTATATACAGAATGTTTAAGTATATGTTCTTCACGTTTTTCTTCTCGGTAATGTTTCTTCTGGCATTATTGGGGTTCAGTCAGTGGAGGGGAGTTTGTTGCCTGAAAATATGAGAATTTATGAGAGAAACAGAAATAGCAATTAACTGGCTTCACACATAATTCAGCCAAGTACCAAACATAAAAATTAAACAACTAAAAAGGAATATTTCTAGACCCATAAACATGACAGCTCCCGAGTCAGTGCAAGAAGTTACCCCAAAGTTATTGTTACATCGATGAAGGTGATAAGCAACATCTCATTCTTAATAAAAACAGTCATAAATTCTTTTAACCGAGTCTAAATCAACTAATGAACAAGGCAATTACTGTAGCAATATTCCCCTTATCACTCAATGCTTACGCTGTGAGGTAATAAAAAATAATTAACTTGGTACTGTATACCTATCACCCTGCCAGCAATACAAGTTATCAACATCACCTTTACACACATCACAAAGATCATGATTTAAACCCCTAACCCTCATCTCTATTATATACAATACAATAATTCTGAAATTCAACCTTATCTTGACCATCAACTACATCCCCAACCACCACCACTACCCAATGCCAACTGCCTCCTCATCCCTTCCATATCTGGTTCAACTTTCCGCTATACATCTCATCTGCCTCAAACTTATTCCAATTTCAGTGCTGGAACTTTCTCACCACACCTCCCTACTACACTTACCCACTACCATCCACTGTCAACCTTAATAGTTATCACTTGCCACCTTCACAACCTCACCACCCACAACCATTATTACCAAACTTACAAACTCGTCAAATCACCACCAAAAACTACAGCCATCACCATAACCACAACCCTAGTCACTATCAACAACAATCAACTACCACGATTACCAGACAAAAACACCACCAACTATTCCCTCCACTAACCCCCATCCCTAACCGCCAGCATCAACATCAACCACTACTACCACCACTACCACTATCTATTCAACCAAGTCTAGCACCACAACAATACCACTGTCTTATCATAAATTTAACGCCATGAACGTCAAAATTGCTACGACTTAAAATGATGCTCCTTTACAGTGACCATCATCTCTACAGGCCGGGAGGGATAGCACTATATTCTTCCCTCAAGACGGTACTGTACTGACATTCACGCCACAATATTTTCTCATGCGGGTTCTCGTCTTGATTTAAATTTTTTCTTTCTTTAATTTGTCAAATTTTATCACATCTTTTACGCCAAAATTTAAACAGATTTTTTTACCAATTTACTGATATTCTAGTTCAAAATGAGGGTTAGTAAGTTTACAGTCTTATACTGGTTACTTACTACCCAACCCTAAACTAACCTAACTGAACCTTCCCAAACCTCAACTAACCTAAATTAACCTTTCAAAACCTCAACTAACCTTACTGAACCTATCAAAACCTTCCATAACCTAACTGAACCTTCCCAAACCTCAACTAACCAATGAAATCTCGAAATCGAATGAAAACTCAACAGCAATATTGGTTGTCCGCAACAAAACGACGGGCGTCGCACTTTTTACGGCTTGCTTGATGTGATTTTTTTTCTAAGCCTTACATTGGCTGTGGAGACAATGGGCGAGCACAGAAGCGAGTGGGTTGAAGGAATGAGAGGGGTGGGAGGAATGAGAGGGGTGGGAGGAATGAGGGGTGGGAGGAATGAGAGGGGTGGGAGGAATGAGAGGGGAGGGAGGAATGAGAGGGGAGAGAAGAATGAGAGGGTGGGGAAGAATGAGCGGGTGGGGAAGAATGAGAGGAGAGGGAACAAAGCTTAACGTACTGAATGACAAGGAATAATATCTAGTTGCTGCTGGGTACTGTGCTGCGGACCCCTCGAGTGTATAGGTACAGTACTTTGTTATATGAAGATCCACTTATTAGTGAACATTCTTGGTATGTACTGAGACACTATTGAAAACATTTCAACAAAAATCCTTCAGGTAAGAATATAGTTCATTGTATCGCACTGATTTTTTTTAAACATCTACAGAGCACAGGGAGTGATAAGATAAGTGGCATTGTCAAACCTATTCACAGAGGCGTTCCCTTGACAAAGACTGAGGGTATTTGAGGGAAGATAAATGTGAACCGACGTGAGGTTATACGACAGATACTGTACACTATGAAGTGGGGAGTTCCACGGAAAGCTAGTCCAAGGTATAAATAAATTTGAGTAAGCAGACTTTATGCAGACGGGAACTTTCAACAGAAGACGTGGGTCCTACATCCGTGAACCAGAAAAAGTACAGTTAATGAAACAAACATCAATCATTTATCATCGCACTGTAATTCTGCATCTGCATTTTTCTGGCTAAATAAACTTAAATTATCAACTAAACTGACAAAATAATTTTTTTTCTCTTTTCTGACGTATAAAGGTACAATACTGGCCACCGCCCACCATCCCATGGACGGGTAGGCCTGTGACCCTTATAGCATTTGAACCTGATCTTGGCATCACTAAGGGAGATAGATATTCGTGAACACCTTACAGGCCTACGCCCAAATAAATCTTCCAGCAGACAAGTACAGTATAGGTAGAGACGCCATATTAGGTGGCGCCCAACTTTTAATAACAATTAGGACAATCCAAATGACGGTGGATAAAATATTAGTTTCCACTCAACCAACAATTTTAGTCTTCATAAAAGAATTATAGTTTATGAATCCTCACACAGATGCACAAAACTCGTGATGAAGAGTATGCATCACGAGTTTTGTGGAATCGTGTTCACTCCACAACGTAATGTGGGGTTTTGAGATATTGGTTCACACTCAGGATGGGTTAGAGAAAGGAAACTCACAATGTGCTCTCTGTATATATATTGTATTGGATGTACAATGCAGCTTGGTGCTGGGAAGTGGCAGCGTGGTTAAAAGGTGGAGTAGAGAGCTGGTTGGGGAGCGTGCTCAGAGGACACACAGCTTGTGGAGCGCCAGTCGCCGGCGAGAGCGAGGGCCACCAGGCAGGAGCAGAGGAGGTGTTGCTTGCTGGTGGCTGTAGGTAGAAGAGGGCAGGTCACGGCGGGGTGAGGTCTTATATAGCAGGGGTAGGCGTGGGTTGATAGTTGACCTCCGCCTTGTTAGGCGGCGCTGGTTGCCGACCTAGACCACGAGACGTAAGCTGGGGAATTCGAAGAGGGTCGGCTAGTCAGCGACAAAGGCAGTTGAAGTTGAGATATCCACTACAATGTATAACAGTTTGGAATTGCCTAGTTTACTTAGGTTTAGTAAATTCTTGGCAAGATTGTTTATTAGCGCATAAAACTATAATTACGAATGACAACAATATCAGGAAAACTTAATAAAAACCTGCAAATACCATTCTTTATAATTTATACTATAGCGACTCTGTGTACACTACACAAACCCTTAACCAGGAAACATCTATAAATCAATAAACGTGAATGACTTGTTTATCTGATAATTCAAGAACTAAGGTAGAACAAAGGTTAAGTAATGCGATGCCAATGTGTGTGTGAGTGTGTGTGTCTGTGAGGGTTTCTTTCCGGCACACCTCCCTCCGCCATTGTTCGCTGGGTTGTGATGGCTGGAACGTCACCACAAAGCCCTGGGTCTGGAGGCCTCACGTTTTGACCCCAGACGCTTCTTTGTTACCCTAGTCATGTTACTTTTTGCCCTAGGCATGTCACTTTTTGCCCTAGGCATGTCACTTTTTGCCCTAGGCATGTCACTTTTTACCCTAGTACTAATTTCTACACGTCACGTTACGTTACTTTTTTTACCCTAGTTACTTTTTACCCTAGTCATGTTACATCCGTATATAATATAATAATTACACATTAGTAATAAGAATAATTCCCAGTTTATTTATGAGAATTTAGTAAATACTAATGAATCTCTCGGCAGTGATGTAAAGGTTAAAACATTTTATCACACAAGACCTTACGCGTGTCTACTATTAATCTCGACCCCACAAGCATAAGAACAGTTAAGTTACCCTGGTCTGTGCTTACATAAAATACGCTCAGTTGTTACCCAGTACACAGTGTTATGGTACCGGGTATGTGAAAGTTTTGCCTGGGTTGGTTTGTTAGGGTTAGCTTGCGTTTCGTCAAGATGAAAGCCATGAAAACAAAAACACAGAATTATTTTAAATATCGAAGTTGATATTTGTATTTACGACCTAAAATCCTGAACAAGACTTAATTTAAGGAATCAATCGAATGAAAACAAAAACCTGCAAGTGTTTGTTTTTAAAAATATCTTGGAACAAACAGTAGCGAAAGTCGTGCAACCTTTGAGCAGCATCAGGAACGCCCATTGATCTTCGCTTGTTTTTGTTCGGGTAAACACTGTGCCTGCTGCCTGACCTTGTTCCACCTGTTCGCTCCCTATTTAATATACTTTTTACATTTTCACAACTGCTAAATTACTATAACCGTTTAAAGTAACCAAAGTAATATCAGGATCGCCTTTAACATACAGTAATAGACAATTTCAAGAGTAATATTCAGAGCAGTATGAACGTGTGGATGACCTTGGGTGTGTACAGTATACATTCCAAGCTTCACAACGTTTCTTTCCGTAAATACGTAAGGATGAACACTCAATTGATATACCTTCAGTTAAAACACACTAAGAACATCCAACAATAGTTTCTGAAGTCAATTTAATCTATCAGCCAGGGTACAAATTTAAAGAATAGAATGTTTGGAAAGGATGGGTACATTATTTTAGTACTATAACACTTAAAATACGATGCTTTAACCCCATGAGTACGATGATTTAACCCCATGAGTACGATGATTTAACCCCATGAGTACGATGATTTAACCCCATGAGTACGATGATTTAACTCCATGAGTACGATGATTTAACACTTCGAGGACGACGATTTAAATCCAGCAGTCAGTTAAGTGTATAATCTTTCATCTTCAGTTACGAGTAATACCCATGGTGAGAACCTTTGAGAATCTGAGCCCAGGATATATATTTATGCTAGAACACGTCTTGTCCGAAGCGGTCATGATGCGCAGTTTACATATAGTATTTTTTTATTTATTTTTTTACAGAAACATTAACGATGAAAA